TTGGTTCCAGGGATCGAACTCGGGTCCTTGTGCTTGAGGCAGATGCTGGAACCACTGAGCTAAATCCCCGGCCCTCTTGTTGCTGTTATTAAAAAATATTAACAAAGATATAACAAGAACTAGAGCTAGGAAGAGAAGGCAAAACTTATTAAAGGGAAGGAATACTCAAAGGCCATTTGAGAGACTGAAATGGGATTTACATCATGGACCGGCTGTGGAACTTTTTTACGCAAGTAACAAGCGCCACATGCCTCTTGGTCCCTCTTAACCTAGTAGCTGAAGCTTCTGACTGAAGTTAGCTAGACTTTTAGAGCTCTTTGAAGCAAGAGTGATTTCCTTCAGAAACCAGCCCATTGAAGTCACCAGGACTTTGATATTCATTTTGTCTTGAACCTAAGCTAAGCATGTGCTGTACCTGAGCTGTACCTTTAGTCCTCAGTTTTTAATCAGAAATTGGATATTCTTGAGTTTTTAAGTTTTAATTTCATATCAGTGCTCATTGGTCTCTATAAACTTATGAGTATGGGAACACCTATAGATTTAAAGTAGTTTATAAATTGCTGGGCATGGTGGTGCACACCTGTAATCCCAGCACTTAGGAGGCTGAGGCAGGAGGACAATTGCGAGTTCAAAGCTTACCTGAGCTATATAGTGAGTGCAAGACCAGCCTGAACTGCATACTAAGACCTTGTCTCAAAATAAATAAATAAATTCATAATTAAATAAAATAGTTTAGGGCCAGGATTTGGCTCAGTGTTTCCACTGCCTGCCTTGCAAGCACAAGGGCTTGAGTTGATACCCGGTACCAAAAAAAAAAAAAGTTTATAAATGAATTCATTAATCTGGTAATACTTTGTGTTCAGTTTCTCAGACTAAATAGTCCTAGAGTATACACATAATGGCATTTTACAACTGTCTAAAAAGACTGACCTGTGGAAAATTGAAACTGTTTTCCTGTTGCTTCTATTACTCCGTATAGCTGTTAAAATGAACATTTCTCTGAAGGGCCCACTGTGATTTTGAGTTCTGCTTCATGTTGATAGAAGCCCACTGCTTGCCATGTGGGCACTGAAGTTAGTGTTGGAGGCCTTGGTTCCCACACAGTGGGCGGGGGTTATTTCCTGTGTCAAAATCAGCATCACCAAATCACCCAGAACAGACACAGCAGTGCCTTGGATGTATGTCAACAGATGGGGTGTCAGCAGCACCCCTTTCTCTCTGATCAAGAGGGGAACAGCCTGCAAATGGGGTCTGAAACTGCCCTCCAGTTCCAGAGTTGACAGAATTTCAGGGAAGTGGCTGGAATCCCAAGTTAGCTATAAGTTCTGGAACCTGAAGCAGGCTGGATTAGAAAATAAGTGAAAAAGGGCCGGGGATTTAGCTCAGTGATGACACTCCCTGCCTCACAAGTGCAAGGTCCCAAGTTTGATCCCCGGTACCAAGGGAAAAAAAAAAAGAAAATAAGTGAAACAGGGTTGAGTCATGGATTAGCGAGGGAGCCGCAGGGCCAGCTGCCCTGAGAGGCCCCGAGTACCTGAGCAGGAGTTTTCCAGCACCTGTGTGGAGAGGGAGGGTGGGGGCTGGCAGACTGGACCCAAGGTCCCACAGATGGAATAATTCTGGAACACAGATGCATTCCCAGCTCTAATAAATGTCGTCCTTCATTAGTCTAGAAAGGAATATTTAGGTAGCTCCAGTAAGAGTGGTACTAGTTTCTCAGTTTCTCTCCCTTCCTCCCTTCCCCCCTCCTTCCGTTCCTCTTTCTCCTTCTCTAGCCTACTTTTCTCTCACTGCAGTGCTAGTCATTGAACCTGAGGTCTCTCACATGCTGGACAGTTGCTCTACAACTAAGCTATATCCCCCTGCCAACACCTTCTTTTTCCACTGATTACTGGGAAGAATTTGATTTACAGTAATTACAGATGTTAGCAGAGCTTAGAGGTTGCACAGGGACACCAGGAAGGAGCTCTTTAAGGCAGTGGGGGTTGAGGCTCTATGTCATGCCCTGCTGCAGGCCAACTGCCTTGTAGAAAGCCTGGCACAGTCACCCTCACATACACACTTGTTACCTGATGGCCAGTGCTAGCGCAGGTGTCTCCTGCACTTTCTCTTAGTGCTGTCTCACACCGCTTCCTACACAAGGAGTCCTCCGTCCAATCAGACGACTGTTCTCAGTTGTCCCTTTGTCCCATGGGGAGCTGGGTCCCGTTGCTGGACAGCTTGTGGATGCGCTTCTGTTGGTGTGTGGTTGTGAGTTAGGAGGTAACGGGAGTGGTGATTGTGTAGAAGCTGCCTGTGATGTTTCGTAGCCTGCGGTCTGGAGTGGGTTTTCTGGATGCAGTAGCGGATGCAAGGTGGAGAGTTTGGCCAGAAGGGAAGTCTTGGTTGGTTGGATCTCACCTAACTCTTAGGGTCTTAAAAACAGGATTGAGTCTCACCACTGCTTAGGCAGAATCGCTGGGGCTGCCCTCAAGAAGCCTTCATTCTGACTTGGGCTTTTCTCTCTGCTGCAGAACCCAAGCTGGAACTCCAGCCAGGTCCTTTCTGTCCCCTGGATTTCCCAGCTCACAAATTCCCCGTGCCGCATGTGCTGTGCAGCCAGCCTCCCTGGCTACTGACGTGCTTGTGCGCAGGAAGCCCTGTCCTGCCAGGGCCTCGGCGTCCAGACGACCAGGAGAAGCAGCCGCACGCCTCCGAGGGGCGCAGCTGGAGAGCAGAGGCCGAGGGTGGCACCAAGCCTTCCTTTGGGAAGACAAAGAGGAGGAATTTGGGCGTGTTCTCCAGGCCACCGCAGAGGCAGCTGGTCAGGGGCCTCCGCGGGGTGCAGATGGAGGCCGGTGCCACTCCGCCGGGGACCCCTGAGGACACAGACAAGTTGCTGAAGAGCATCGAAGTCCTAGGGTTCGGGACAGTCAACTGCGGTGAGTGCGGCCTGGGCTTCAGCAAGATGACCAACCTGCTGAGTCACCAGCGCATCCACTCGGGTGAGAAGCCCTACGTGTGCGGCGTGTGCGAGAAAGGCTTCAGCCTGAAGAAGAGCCTGGCCCGGCACCAGAAGGCCCACTCGGGGGAGAAGCCTATCGTGTGCGGCGAGTGCGGCCGCGGCTTCAACCGCAAGTCCACGCTGGTCATCCACGAGCGCACGCACTCGGGTGAGAAGCCGTACGCCTGCGGGGAGTGTGGGCGCGGCTTCAGCCAGAAGTCCAACCTCATCATCCACCAGCGCACGCACTCGGGCGAGAAGCCCTACGTGTGCTGCGAGTGCGGCAAGGGCTTCAGCCAGAAGTCAGCCGTGGTCCGGCACCAGCGCACGCACCTCGAGGAGAAGACGATCGTGTGCGGCGACTGCGGCCTGGGCTTCAGCGACAGGTCTAACCTGATCTCGCACCAGCGCACACACTCGGGCGAGAAGCCCTACGCGTGCAAGGAGTGCGGCCGCTGCTTCCGGCAGAGGACCACGCTGGTCAACCACCAGCGCACACACTCCAAGGAAAAGCCGTACGTGTGTGGCGTGTGTGGGCACAGCTTCAGCCAGAACTCCACCCTCATCTCGCACCGCAGGACGCACACTGGGGAGAAGCCCTATGTGTGCCCTGTGTGCAGCCGCGGCTTCAGCCTCAAGTCACACCTCAACAGGCACCGCAACATCCACTCTGGGGAGAAGCCCATCGTGTGCAATGACTGCGGCCGGGGCTTCAGCCAGCAGTCCAACCTCATCCGGCACCAGCGGACACACTCAGGGGAGAAACCCATGGTGTGCCAGGAGTGTGGACGAGGCTTCAGCCAAAAGTCCAACCTCGTGGCACACCAGAGGACACACTCAGGGGAGAAGCCGTATGTGTGCCGGGAGTGTGACAAAGGCTTCAGCCACCAGGCCGGGCTCATCAGGCACAAGAGGAAGCACTTGAGGGAGAAGCCTTACATGTGCCGGCAGTGTGGGCTGGGCTTTGGCAACAAGTCCACTTTAATTACGCATAAGCGGGTCCACTTGGAAGGGAAGCCTTGTGTGTGCAGTGAGTGTGGCCAAGGCTTTATCCAGAAGTCTCTCCTGGCTTTGCATCAGCTGGCACACAAGGGAAAGACACCCTATGTGTGCAAGACCTGTGGGCAAGGCTTTAGGCAGAAGTCTCAGCTCAGCAGGCACCGGAAGACCAAGTGTGGCCACCACAAACTGCCCTTCCACGCCAACTCTGAGGCTGGTTCTGGGCAGGCTTCTGACCTCTTGGATTTACTTTGAAAATGAAGCTGGTACAGAAGATGAACAGTTTTTACACTGCCACGAAATGGAATAGAAAAAGATACTATATGAGTGGTCAGAGGATACTGACTTAGTTTACTTTCTCCCCACAAAGTGTTTTCCATGTTTTGTGGCCTTTTGTTCCAATAAACTGCTTCTTTACAAATCTGGCTGTGTGACCTCATTTGCTCATCTTGCAGGACAGAAGGGAAGATACAGATACCTTGTACTCTTGAGACCACTGTTCCACAGCAAGCCAGTCCCTTGTCAGACTCAGGACTGAGTCACCCATGCAGGAATTGGACAGCCTGGTCCTTTGTGTGGGGAGAGTCTAGGGACTGTACAGAGATTTCAGGTGAAGGAGGGAATCCCCAGAAAATGGTTCCCTCCAATTCAGTCTCATCTTGCAGCCATCTCCTTTGCTTGGTCTCCAAGGCAGCTTCCTGTCTTGCTTTTCTCTTATCTGTTACATTTCTATGTGGTTGCCTTTTCCAAACCATCGCTAACTACCATTATTGCTTTCCTTAAGTTTTGATCCCTAGTCCTCCCATCCTGGGGTACTCTTACCGATACACTGTCCCTAGCACTCCAAGGCCTGGTCATGCAGCTGAAACTGCTCAGTTCTTTAGTCTCAGAGTCTTGGGTCTCAGACACACCAATATCGGTCATCAAAATGTGAGTAACAATCATACCGCTATATCAGTGTGCAATAACTATATAGCAGTATAAAGATGTGTCTTCCTAACTCTCAAATAACAGGGATAAGACTCTGAAAGCCACACTCCCAGATCAGTCCTGTGATACCAGAGTTAAGGACTTCATCATGTCCCTTAGCATTCCATCCCAGAACCCTGTCCCCACACCAGCCATCTTGTTAACTGGTCTAAGTTCCCTTACCCCCATACCCTAGATAGTTTTCCAGTTCTGGAACTGAAGATATTTTGCCATTTTTAAAACTTCTTAAACCATACCTCTTCAAATGTGTTTCAGTCCAGAGAGGTTTTACTCAAAATAAGTGGCTTTTAAAAATCATTTCAAGGGTGTGACTGTAAGACCCTATTATGACTCCCAAGAAGTTTTTTTTTTTTTTTTTTTTTTTTTTTGCCAGGGATTGAACTCGGGATCTTGTGCTTGTGAGGCAGGTTGTGGCACCACTGAGCTAAATCCCCAGCCCCATTCCCCCACCCCCTGTATTTATTTATTTATTTTTTACTCCAGGAAGATTTAAGTGTATTACTCTAGACTGCACAAAATCATTTCTGTGACTTTTAAATCCCATAGCACAGTGACAATTCAAGCCACAGAGGCTTGGCTTGAGGATCTTTGTGGATGGGTTTTATCTGATGGAATGAACTTCAACAAGAAGTGTAGGAAATCCATGACATTTGCAATCGAGACATCAGTGTGGTCTGAAAAAGAAGGCCCTGCCTTTCCCTGGGCAGGGAGGCAGGTAAGCAAACACAATTTGTCATGGAAAAAGAAGAATAACTCAGAATATAGACACACAAGCTACAGAGAATCACTGGGGTGGTGGGTTCTGGGCACTAAGTAAAGAGATCATGACACATGCCTGGCTGAATTTCAGAATGTATGAAGTGACACCTGTTTGCTGATTTTCCCATTTTTTAAAAATAGAAACATTATTGGTCTTATCCTGTCCTTGAATCAAGACTAGTTATATATGCACCTTTAGCTTATAGGTCTTAAGATAAAATATATCTACATTTTTACTTAATTTACATGGCAAGATCCTGAATTTTGAGTCAGTGCTATCAAGAGACAAGATGTTGGGTAGCTCAGGAGGAGGGATGAGTGGACAAACAGAAGTTTGGTGTTCAGAGATCGGACTGTGAAGATAGCCTCCAGAATGGGCACGACACTGTCAAGTCCTTCCCTCACGGTGTGTCACAGGATGTAATCTGCTTGCCCCGCTCCAGGGAATCTGGACCAGCTTCAATGACTTGATCGATCAAGAATTCAAGGGAAGTGAAGTTGTGTTAGTTTCTGTCACTGTGACAACACTTAATACCAAAAGAGGTAAGGTTTATCTTGGGGCACAGTTATAGAAGTGTGAAAAACAGTGTAAATCAGGGTCAAAATGTGTAATTGATATTGTGTAATAGGAAGAAAAGGTTTAAAAGGGTAGGGGGAGTGGGAGGAGTAGGGAAAAGGTAAAAAGGGAAAAGAAAAACTGAGAAAAGGAAAAACATGGAAACAATGGCTTTGTAAACAGAAGGGTGGAGGGGTGAAGGGAGGGCTGGGTATGGGGAAAAAATAAGAACCAAGATAAGTCATGTAAAGGCACAAGATCCCAATGATGAATGTTAACTGTACTGTATACCTACAAGGTACCAATAAATTTTTAAAAAGTTTCAGCCCACAGTTAGTTGACTGCACTGTTTTTGAGTATGAGGTGAGGTAGCACATTTTGGCAAAAGGGCACATTGGAAGAAAACTCCTCACCTTATGGCACCAGACAGGGAAACAGCCAGAGAGGAAGGGGCTGGAGACAAAATGGAGTCCCCGAGGATGTGCCCTTATAACTCACTTCCTTCAGCTGGGCTCCACCTCCTAAGTTTCTATCACCCACCAATAATGCCATCAAATTATGAATCCATCAATGGATAGTCCACTGATAAAGTCAGATCCCTTATTATTCATTTGCCTTCCAGAAACCCACTAGTAACCAATCCTCCAGCACTTGGGCCTCTGGGGGATATTTTGGATTGAAACCATAACAGATTTGGGACTATAGAGACTGGGTCATATGAAACCTGGCATCTATTCTTTGAGTTCTGACACAATGTTGTGGAAATGTTGAGCCATGTGGAGATTCCTCATGGTAGTCAGCACCACCTCCAGTCATTTGAGTTGATTTGTTGGCTATCCTGTCCTGCCAGGCCTGCAGAGGATGGAAGCCCCAGCTGACAGCTGCAGCCATGTGAGGGACCTCAAGTGAGAACCGTTCTGATGAGCTGTCAACTTCCAGAACCATGAGGGATGATGATAATGAATTTGATGTTCAAGCTTTAAGTTGTAGGATTGTCTGCAACACAGCAGTAGATGATTGGAATGCCTTTATAACCTGGGCTGACTTTTCTAACTATAACTCAGAATTTCAAAGTCATAATAAAAAAAGATCAGGTTTTTCTACAGAAAAATAAATTGTGCAAGGCAACCTATACCTTTACCCAAAACCAAAACAAGAAAAGATGGAGGGAAATAGTAGCGCTGAAGTCTGAAAAACCAATGATGCAACAGAAGATACGCAAAATACAAGATCAGAAGATGGTAGAGTCTTACGCAGCAAAGAAAGCCTCTCTGAGATTTGGTGTCCTGACATTGGAATATAGAGGCATGAGGAGAAGGAGGGAAACAGGCCCTGACACCTAGGAAGGATCTGAAGCAAGAATTGAAGTCCATAAGGAGAGTGGAGAGAGAGACTAATGAAGAGGAGAGAGATAGTGAACAGCACTAGACCCCAAACTCAGGGCATGAGAACAGCGGTTTGAACCTGCAGATGCATGGAGACTACTGGTGACCCCAGAGGCCTACACAGAAAAACACACTACTGGGATGGAGCAGTGGACACAGCAGATTGCAGTGGCTGGTGAGTTATTTGGGTTCAGACATCACCTAGGAGAGGGTGATTGGCCAGTAGCCATCTTGGAGAGGGGCCAACTGAGCTCAGAACTCATAATAGCTACAGGCCGATTCCATCTAGTGGCTCCTAGTGTCTTGGTGAGGGTGCCAAGTTCAAGTCAGCAGGAGGTCAGGGAGCAGAGTTCAAATTGGCAGGGAGCCGAGGGCAAGCTGGCAGAGGCACATGGACTGTTGCAGGCTCAAAAACCCCAGTTCCAGCCTCATAACCAGAAACTAGCTTGAACTTCAGTGTAACTAAAGGTGCAGGCTGGCTGGGATTATTCACTACCCACCATAAAGCTACAGCTGGCTTGCTGAGATTATCAGTTTGGCTCTGGACTCTGTTGTCTACCAATGACAGCAGAGACACACCTTGAATTGGACTTTTTTCTTTTCTGGTTCTTTTTGTTTTTGCTTGATTGTTGGAACAGTTTCTAGGTGTTTTTTGTCATTCTGTTCTGTTCTGTTCTTGTTTTTATGTCCTTGTCATGGCCCAGAAAGGCAATTTTTCATCTAAATTCACAAAAGTAGGATCTTCTGGATGTAACAGCATGCTACATTTTTCTCCCAGTGTGGTCTTGAAAATAGGGCATTATTTTTTCAATTCTAATTCATTAAACCTTCTAGGCTTTGGGGCTGGTCGCCATACTGCCTGACTTTGGGCTTGGGTCACACTTGGGGCCCTGCCCCTACTAGAGGGCCTCATCCCTTTAGCAAATCCCCTACCCCAAGCACTGTCACTAGGAAAAGGAAGCTTCACAAAAGACAGAAAATAACATGACTTTTGAAATTGGAAAGGGTGACCTTAAAATGTATTTGATTTTTCTTGAAACACATAGTTCAATATTTATAAGATCCTTTATGTGGCCCTGTGGAATTTCATCAGCAAGTGTGTTCCTGCATCTTGCATGCTTAGCACCGTCTTAACGGTGATTGTGCCCAAAGTAAATCTGGGGGTGATGTGTGTGGCTGTGGGCTTTAGAGAAAGGAGGAGCTCCACTATGAGACATCCCTGGTTCAGCCAGTGGGCACTGGGAGCCTCTTGGGCTCGAGGTGGGACATTGACAAGCCTGGAGGGGGTTGTCCCTGGAGCCCATGGGCCCATCCTTCTCAGGGGAAATCTTGGACTCCATCACCTCCCCTGCACTCCCCACCGTGGATCCCAAGCCTGCACGATGTGAGGGACAGCAGTGTCAGGGCCACACCAAACTGTGGGCATGGCTTCCTTCCTTCTGAATCTCACGCCTCTTCCCTTGATCCAGCTCTGAAGGGGACCATGATTGTGGGTGAGCTGTGCAGCCAGACCAGATGATCACGCTCCCCGTTCCTTCTTGACACTGGCCGCCCATACAGTGGCCCCTCACACACTGACCCAGGGTTCTTCTCTGAGGACAGCACAGTACCAGCACAGGTCAAGGCAACAGCAACCACCACCACCAGATCTGTTGTTTATTGTCCTGCATGAACCATTCTATATGAACAAGCTTCCTGTTTATGGACAATTCCGAGGCTCCACTACTGCTGCACTGCGCGGCAACCTAGATTGAAATCACGGCCGTGAGAAAAGAGTAGGTGAATCCCTGCAAATGTTTTCACTGAAGCTGGGCTGCCAGCCAGCAACGAATGATGGTTACCGACGAGTTCAATGTCGACATTTAAAGTTCAATCGTTATATACTAATTTGGAGCCACCTACAAGTTGTAGAGCAGTGTGCAAGTTGCTGCTATTGTGCTAATGAGGGGGAAGAACACAACATGCATGTTGTATACGCACTGTGCGTGGCCCATGCAGGCCTGGACATGTGTCCTATGTGTTTTCGTCCAACCCTAGGATGACACAGCCAGCCCTGGGCTCCCTGGTACCCCCGAGGTTGGGGGAAGACTGCTCCAAAGACTACTTTATACCTTTCAGCTCTGAACCCTGTGTAATTATTATCTATTGAAAAAATCAATTAAAAAATTAAAAGTCAAATTCCCTCCCTAAACCCCAGCAATGAACCATTGAAAAGCATGCATTAAGTTCATCACAATCCAACGTATATTAGGAACAGCCCATATGGTACAAGTGGCTTCTACCAATCAAAAAATAAAAAGTTTTTTTTTCAGTACTGAAGATTGAACCCAGGGCCTTTATGCTGAGCTGTATTTCCTGCCTTTTTTATTATTTTGAGACAGGGTCTTGCAAAGTCACCAAGTTGCCGAGGCTGGGCTCAAACTTGTCATCTTCCTGCCTCAGCCTCTGGGAATGCTGGGATTACAGGCAATGCATCACCATGCCCAGCTCTAAAGAAAAGAATCAAGTGTTTCTCTCAAGCTTAGTTCCCAATCTCAGATGCACACTTCAGAAACAGAGCTGAGTGGCTCCTTCCATGAGGGCCCACGGCTGCCTTGGGCCTGCTGGTCATCTGGGCTGCAACTCTTGGGCTGACTGAGCTGGTCCCCCAGCTCCTTGCTGAACTTATCATCAAACAGTGAGGTGACACGGTGGTCCTCCCTTTCCAGAGCCAGGTCGTGGGCTGTCTGGCCTTGAGTGTTCATCCTCTGGAGGCTCGTGCTGCACCTGTGAAGGAGACCAGCAAACAGAAGGCCCTGGAGGGTTCGGCATAGGACTCCAAGTGCCTGACTCTTCCGGGCCGTGGAGGTCACAACACTTTGTTCAGGCTCCCCAGCCTCCCCAGGTGGCTACCGCGACTGTAGACCTGTGTGATTTCAACTGCCAGGCCCAGCGTCAGTTCCCACTGCACCAGAATCCTACAACCAAGTGTGCTGAATGTGGGTACACTCTCAGGGCACTCTGAAAAGCCCCAAGTGACCTGGGACATTCACAGAGAGAGCAGTTCAGGAGCTGAAGCCCCTGTAACATCCTCTTGGGTCTATAGAGGTCACAGTGGCCCCAGAAACCCCCACTAAAGTGGTGACGTCCTCCTTTCCAGCCACGCAGGCCAAGCAGGGCTGCTTTGTGCAGAGCTCTTTCTGAGCTAAATGCTTAGCAATATCAGACCAGTGAGTGCAATGTTACCAAAGGAGCCTTGGTTTTACTCACCGACCTATTTAACCAGGGAAAACCTCTTGAATGTGCCCCCTTCCCTTGGAGGAATACTGTGATGTGGTCAGCTTCGATACGTAATGGAGTGCGAAAGTCTAGAAATATTCATTTTTTTAATGTGAGAAATGCACACAAGTCTGGTTTGTAGCTGACTTGGTAAATGATAAATTTGGGAAATGTACTGAACACAGAGCCATCTCTAGCTCACGGCTCTTGGGCATCATCTGCACAGGGACTTGGCAGGGGCAGCTCCTGCTGCTGTGTGGGGAGAGCAATGTGTTTTCAGTGAGTTTGCCTGGCATGATGGGAAGATCAACCCAGCAGGCCGGCCTGCGAGGTAAGGGCAAGTGTGTCTGGCTGTTTCTCAGGCTTTTTTGATAAGGTATGACCCGGTGAAGAGAATTTGATGGCTGAAATGGAGGATGGGTTGGTGTGTGAACCCCTAAAAGGCACCTGAATCTGAGGTAGCAGGAGAGAGGAAAGGCAGGAACCATGACTGGAAGTAGCAATGAGGCAGGCAACTGAAGGCTGTGCTCTCCCAGCCCACCATCTGCCTTTGATACCCCAACCCCAACACCTGCAGCCTAAAGTTATTCCAGTGGTGAAAGACTATGGTGGCCCCCTCTTTGAAGAGGATGAGGTGAGTGAGCCCTTCCGCTTCCCAGCATCCCCTGGTCCTAGCCTGGGAGCTGTGCCATCTCCCACAGAGCTCCTGGTTGACGGGCTCCACTGGGGGTACAAAGCTCCCATTCATCCAGCCCATTCCCCTTCCTCAAATATGGCAGACAATAAAAGGTCCAAGAGGTCTCAGAAAAGTATGGTGGCCCCCTCTTTGAAGAGGATGAGGTGAGCCCTTCCGCTACCCAGCATCCCCTGGTCCTAGCCTGGGAGCTGTGCCATCTCCCACAGAGCTCCTGGTTGACAGGCTCCACTGGGGGTACAAAGCTCCCACTCATCCAGCCCATTCCCCTTCCTCAAATATGGCAGACAATAAAAGGTCCAAGAGGTCTCAGAAAAATATGCAGCATCAAAGAGAAAAGCAAGCTAAACAAGAAATATTTTTTAAAAACTAAAACCTAATTGGTCTCCTCAGAATGATTTAAGACAATATAAAAATATGAACACATAAAAAGGAAGCAATCAGAATAAAAGGTATCTCTTAAAAGGGGAAATGGGACTATTTAAATAAAAATTACTCAGTGGGAGGGATGAACAAAAAAGTTAGGAGAATCTCTTAAAATATAGAAAGAGAGAGATTAAAAATACTGGCAAAAGGAAAACAAAACAGACACAAGCAATCAGTTCAAGAGCCTCCCACCAATAAACAGCTCCAGAAGGAAAAACAACAACAACAACAACAAACAGAAAGAGTGGAGGGGAGAAAAGGTATCAAAGGGATAATAGAAAAAAAACTGTCCTGAGCTGAAGAAAGACATGAAATTTTAGACTGAAAGGACCGACTGGGTGAATGAAAAACATTGACAAATACACTTGTGAAATTTAACGCCAAGGATAAATGCTTCCAGAAAGAACAAACAAACAGCTCACAAAAGAGCAAGAATTTGCAATAGAATTTTCATGGCTTATCCTGGATGCTAGAAATCAATACAGCAAGGATTTCCAAGAATTGAGGAAAAATTATTTTGAGCGAAGAAATTAATACCAGACAAATTATTCATCAAGAGCGAAGACTGAGGCCAGAGATTCATCTCTGTGTAGAATGCTTGCCTAGCAGGTGTGAAGTCCTGGATGTAGTTCTCAGTGCGACAGAGACCTTAGAAAGTTTATATTCATTCTCTTTCTCTCTCTGGGTCAAACTCAGAGCTGCACACATGCTAGGCAAGCACTTTACCACCCATAGTCCCACCCATTCTTTCTGAAAAAGCAGTTTGAGGACGCACACTTCTTGATGGGAGTCAAAACTAAGAAAGAGATGGATGCCAATGAAAAGAAATCCCATGAGAGAACAACTGTGCAGGCAGCCCAAATCTGTGTAGAATGTGTTCTCTGAAAAGAAGGTTTCTAAAAAGAATGGCATTTAAAAAGAAAGAAAGCAGATGGGATCGTGGATGTGCTGAAGGCGTGTTCTTTTTCAAACTGTGGCTGAGGGGAAGGATTCAGAAACTGCAGGAAAATCAAAGACTTAAAAAACTGTACAAATAGCTGGGAGTGGTGGTGCATGCCTGTAACCCAGCACTTGGGAGGCTGAGGCATGAGGATCACCATGAAGTCAAGGCCAGTCTGGGCTACATAGTGAGTTCAAGGCTGATCTAAACTACATGGTGAGACCCTGTCTCAAAAAACCAATTACCCCAAACAAAAAACAAAAACAAAACCCAAAACAACAACAACAAAACTGCACAAATTGTTCATGGTCTGAGAAAGGAAATGAAATGTGACAGAATTTTGAATGACTTGTAGAGCGTATAGAGAACCGATTTGACATTTCTGCTAAGAAAATTCTTTGAGTGGCCTAAGGATCATGAGCAATCTTACACCAAGAAAATAACATCCTAGCACACCACTTGGATATGTGGTGAAAGTATTTATAGACCTATTACATGCAATCGGCCTTTGTTGCTTTTGAACTGTTGCAATCAGCTTATGGACAAAGAACAGAAGTTTTTTATGTTAACACAAGTGGAGACACTGGGGTTGGCCTGGTGGAAGGTAACTGTACTAGTGGAAGTTGTGAGGCGGGGTGAGAGGGATCCTTCTATCCACTATCCACTACTATCCTCCTTTTGCACACAAAACAGCCAAGAACTCCCACTGAAGGTGATAGCTGAAATACAGAAGGCATCACACAATAGAAACATGAAGGTAGGTAGAAATGGCCAGGTGAGGGCAGCAAGCCAAGCCATCATCCCTCAAGCAGGAATCAGCAGAGGGCGCCTGGGCAAGTTGAATCTGGAATGGCGATTAGGTGTACTAGGACTGATGGAAATACACCAGTTATTATTGGTTCTCTGCGAAGTTTAAACGTTTAAAGGTAGCTGTCTCTGGAGATAAGGAAGGGTGCCTACACCCTTCCACGGGTATGATTTATCATATGTACACTTTATTTGATAAAATTAAAGTTATTTGGTAAGTATGAATTGTTTTCAGGAAACACATAAGATTTTTAAAATCCTTCTGCCAAATGTGTCATAAATAATCATGCTCTGGACCAAAATAAAACACGCTGCCGGGGAGCAACTTCGCTGCTACTGCTCTGCACGCAAGTCTGCCTGACTACTTCCGGCCCTGGTGGGGCCAGGCGCTCAGCAGTGTCCTCGGACCTTGCCCTCCCTTCTCCTGCCACCCTTTATTTTCTTTGCAGCACTTGGCATTCTCTGACTTAGATTCTTGGCACTACAATCAAACGAAAGCCTCGGAAAGTTTATATTCTGTCTCTCTCCAGTGAGTTAACAAAATGTATCACCATTTATAAAGTATAAAAGTGACTAAGTTAGGCAACCCAGAGGGCCATTTTTAAAATTTTGTTGGCCCCAGCTAGGAAAGCAGAAGTTGGGAAGCTGGTGTAACAGGAGCAAGTTGAACAGAATGGCTCTGAGGATTCAGTGGAAAAGGGGAGGTGGCTTTAGCAGTCTACTGCAGAGCCCCAGGGGAGCTCCACCACAGGGGGCCCAGCTGTCCCTCCCACAGTGCAGTTCACATTTCTTTCTTTCTTTCTTTCTTTTTTTCCTGGTACTGGGGATCAAACTCTGGTACTTGCGTTTGTGAGGCAGGTACTGGAACCATGAGCTAAATTCCCAGCCCTGCAGTTCACATTTCACTTACAGCCCCCACGGCTGGTCCACATCCACTCCTCTCCCCGTGTGAACCGGAATGGCTTCCTGGTGCTTATTTGAAACAGCAGAAGATCGGCCCTCGCTGTCACTGCAGCCGGGGTCTGCGTCCTACAGCACATGGGGAAGGAGGAGCTTGCTACAAAACCCTGACCAAAACAGCCTCCCATTACCACCCTATTAAGAGTAACACAGGTCTTGGAAAGAAAATACAGAGCCAGGCCTGAGGGCGCGAGCCTGTGATCCTAGCACTCTGGGAGGCAAGTTAGTTAGGCATCCCTGGAGACAGGAGGAGGGCAATTTAGCAACTTAGTGAGACCTTGTCTCTAAATAACAAAAGAGGCTGGGGAAGTAGCTCAGTGTGAAGAACTGGGGTTCAATCCCCAGTAGTGGGGAGAAAAAAAGGGAAGGAAAGACAAAAGAAAGAAAAGAGGAAACTAGTTTCACTTTAGGTAAAGGAGAGAACTGGAAACTTTAAGACCCAACTTTACTGTAACCCAGCTGCCCAGGACCCAAGGAGAGGGATCTCTGCTCCCCACATCATCAGGGTGCCACCCTCACCACCTTGGTTTCTTTAGGAAATCAGGCTGAAGGTCACATGCTGTGACCAGAGACTGTCCAGCTTAGTGCCTGTTACTTGAGCTCATGCATGCTGGTCGAACTATTTCCTTTGCTATAAAAACCAGCCAAGGTAATAATTGATGCAAAGCTTTCCATGAGCCATTCTCAAGGTGGATACTTACGGGGTCGGGGCTCCACCTTCTGGCCTGGGCTTCTAGCTATGGCTACGCTCAGGACTCACCTTGTCCAATAGCTGTTCAAGCACAGAGACTCTTCCATCCCCTGCCAGGCTCACTTCTTCCACCAGGTGTCTGCTTCTAGGCTGCAGGATTACAGAACAAGTCACTCCTGCCAGTCCCAAGAACCTGTGCCACTGAGCCCCAGACAGACACCGAAGAATCCATATTTACCATCAACCTTGCTGGTCTCCAAAACCTCACCTTGGGCATGGATCTGTGCTGACCTTGTGGTATGAGTAAGGACAAAGAGGCTGCGAGAAACCTCACAGACACCCAGGAACCCCACTGCAGCTTCATCAGGCACATTCCAGGAAAAGCAGCCAGGTGAACCCTAAAATGGACTGTGCGCGGGTCACAGTGCCCACAGCCCGCCTGTGTGTGACCATTCGGAACGTGCTCCCCTGAGAAGTGAGTGACTCAATACTGGCCTCTTGCTTAGAGAAAAGAGAGCTCTCATTTATTTATCACCAGAAGTCTGAAAAATTCACCTTATGTGTGACCATTCGGAACATGTGCTCCCCTGAGAAGTGAGTGACTCAATACTGTCCTCTTGCTTAGAGAAAAGAGAGCTCTCATTTATTTATCACCAGAAGTCTGAAAAATTCACCTTTCCTATTTTTAAGATGCTCTGAATTCTTCTTTAATATAGTTTTTCTGTGGGATTTCAGATGGGAAGAATCTCAAACCTGTAAACTGTTAAATTCAGGAGCTCTAAACTTGTCCTTTACTTACTGCAATTCTTCAAACAGGAAGAAGGTGGAGAAGCACATGGAATCATACACCACTGATTTTAAAACAATTCAAAAGTCTTCCTCCCAGATGGATTGGTGCTGATTACACGCTAGACACAGGTGTATTATTATCGGAGGCTAACTGTGAGTAGTTGACTTTGTGGTGTCTGTCTCCTTTACTCCCATGTGACAAGGGGAGGCTCGCGATCTCTGCTTAAGCCCTGAAAGGTCGGGGTCTACCCAGCAAAGGCTCCTACTGGGGCCCAAGGAGGGAGAAAGGCCAAGCCAGACTCTGAAATCACTGGATGATGCAAATGTGTCGCACCACCGACACCCTGGCCACCAGAGTCAGGCACTAGCGACACAAGAGACCCAGAAACTTTCTCCTGGCCCTGGCCAGACGCCTCCAGGGAAGGCTGTCCCACAGAAGGACCGGCTACCCACACAAGGGCTTTGGACTCATACCTGAGCCAGGCCCTGGTGCTCATCTAACCAGCCCTTCCCTTGTCAAATGACTGGGCAACCAGGGACCCAACGAAATGCAAGACTGAGAGAGGCGGGCAGACGAGGCTGGTCCCAGGACAAACAGGTGATCCAGGAAGCTGATGAGACACTAACTCTAATTCACAATCTGGAGATATTTTAAAGGATTCTGCTCCCACGAAATACAAATATGCCACTATAAGAAACACAGAGGAGTTCCACTTAGAAAACGTCAAAGTAAACAGGAAAATGACAGGCTGGGGGAGCAAGCCACCAAGGCCGAGGAACACACGCACCATCAGCTGCTCTTTCTTTCTGTGAAAAGTTTTGGTCTTGACATTCCTCATCCTCACGGCCTGTTCAGTGGTATCTGCGGGACTCTGGCTGTAGTCACTTACTGAAATGACAGAGACAAGGGCCACAATGGTCCCTCCCCATTCCCCGCATAAAGAGCTACTGCCACACCCCTTGAAGGTCAGAGGGACAAAGTGGCCTTTATGGAAGCTTGCCCTGGGTCCAGCTGGCAGAGGGACCCCCCAGCCACCCCTGTCTAGGAGCCAGTGTGTGAGGGGAAGGAGGGACACAGAAGAGAGTTCAACTTTCAGGATGTGAAGGGCACATGGGCCTCACCCCACTGTATCTGTCCCCAACCCCGCAGTGGGTTCAAAGGTCCACCTCTGACTTTAGAGAAGCCAGACAAAGGAAATGTCTGGGAGGTGACCGTGAGATTGGTGACGGGGCTGGGAAGTTGGTAGCGACTCTCTCTATCCTTGGACATCTGTGTGTCTCTGGCCGCTAGCTGGAAAATCCCGGGGAGGGCAGGACTCACCCAAGCTGGACCTGCTGCCATAGAGGCCATCGCCACCCTCGGTGATACTGCTGAGAAAGCGGTTGCTGAAGTCCATTGCTTTGCTGAGGTACAGGTTCTGGCAAGGAAAATCCAAGCACAGGCTGAAGAGGCAGCTGTGACTCCACGGGAAGAAGAGGCTTCTTGCTGACTCGGTCTTTGCTGGGAGACCAGGCCTGGGCTGCCTTCCTGCCTCCTTTCTCCCCAGACTATGCGGCCTTCTGCCTCCTCCTCAGCTCCTCTACTGCCCTCCTCCTTGGCACTGTGACAACCATGGGCCCTGTCTGCCACAGGAGCCCAACAAGCCTCTGCCACCCATCACTGGCCCGTGCCTGAAGAGCTGTGTCCCCCTCCTGGGATCCTGTCAGCATCCTGGAGTCAGAGTAGCATGTAAGGAAGTTCATGGCCTCCGTGAGATTCCTGGTTCTGTCACCTACTAATTTAGGACCTAGGAGGAAGCAGGTTATTTACTTTCTCCAAGCCTCAGTTTCCTCACCTATGAAGTAGTCTTGCCTATAGTCACATTTCATAATATTGCACTTGGACACTGTTCCTTTCTATCGATGACACAGAAGTGTTTCCACAGTTCACTAGTTGAGTCCATTCACAAATGAGTAACTTCTGAGACCCTCCTTACCTTGTTGGAGACTTGAATATAATTCAGCCTGATGCTAACTTCACAGCCATCTTCATGGACAGTGGCAGAGATGAGCTTTTAAAAGAATTTTAAGGAGAATTCACTCAAATCAGTGGTAACACAGACTTTCTTTCCTTTCTTTTGGATGGTACTGGGAATCAAACCTAGGGAGCACTGAGCTATCTCTCCAGCCCTTTTAACTATTTTCATCAAATATTATTTTGTTGTTGTTGTTGTTTTCTTGGTACCGGGGATTGAACTTGGGTCCTTGCGCCTGCAAAGCAGGCGGCGGAACCACTGGGCTAAATCCCAGGCCCTCATCAAATATTATTAACACAAATGAAGGTAAGAGAAGAGAAACAGGGAACAAATACTTGATCAAATAAATAGAAAACATTCAAGGCCAATCTTAATTACATAAGGAGATCTAAAAAAAAAAAAAGTAGAAAACAAAAAGCAAGCCAGTAATCTGTTACTTGGGAGGCTGAGGTAGGAGGATCTCAGCTTTGAGGCCAGTCTGGGTAACTTTGTGAGATGCTACTCAAATAAAATAAGAATTTTAGAAAAGGGCTAGAGGCACTTCAGTGGTGCAATTGGTTAGTGTGTGGTATTTATAAAAAAAGGGCTGCAGATGTAGCAAAGTGGACTTGCCTAGTATTCACAAGGTCCTGGATTACACACACACACACAGAGCTGGGTGTGGTGTGGTAGCACATCTCTATAATCCCAGCACTCAGGAGGCTGAAGCAGAAGGATTGTGAGCCCAAGGTCAGGCTGGGCTACATGGTGAGACCCCATCTCAAATAACAGAAAATAGAAAAATGGCAGACCCAAATCTAGCCATATCTATAATTTCACTATTTATAACTGACCAAAATACTTTAATCAAAGGATAGAGATTTTCAGACTGTTAGAAAACAAGATCCAAATTTATCCTTTCTTCAAGAGACAGACTTAAATTTTTTTTTTTTTTTTTGGTACTGGGGATTGAACTCAAGACCTTGTGCTTTTGAGGCAATTAAGGAGCACTTAAATTTTTTTTTTTTTTTTTGGTACTGGGGATTGAACTCAAGACCTTGTGCTTTTGAGGCAGATGCAGTGCCACCGAGCTGAATCCCCAGCCTGACTTTAATCAAACCACATGACTGGAGGTCATCACCTTGGAAAAGGTGACCTGGTAGTTGAGAGGGGCAGGCCTTGGCCCCAAAGGACAGTCTCACAACTAAAGGACAAGCAACACAGCTGAGCAGCTTTCTCTGTAAGGGATGGGATGAGTTTAGATTCAAACAGGGCAGATCATGTTTTAAAGAAAGGTCAGGTAATAATCATTTGAGATCTTTGTGAATTCTGTCACAAAACTTAATATTGTGTGGCAGTACAAAGGGGCTGCAGATAACATATCAATGAAGGAATGGTGGTAGGGTCCAATAATATTTTATTTGTAAAACTGAGCAGCAGGGGGCTAGAGATTTAGCTCAGTGGTTCGGCTGCCTTCCTTGCAAGTGCAGGGACCTGAGTTGGATCGCCGGTACAAAAAAAAAAAAGTTGAGCAGCAGGCCAGATTAATCCCAGAGGGCAGAGCTTGCAGACCTCCAAATGAGGCTGAAGAATTTATAAACTGCCAAAGCTGTTTACCAAAAGAAACTGAGCAATACTTGAAAATTAGGCAGTTTTTGTGGCTGGGTGTGGTGGCGCACACCTATAATCCCAACACTTGGGAGACTGAGGCTGAGGCTAGCCTGAACTACATAGTAAGACCCTGTCTCAAAAGAAAAAGAAAAAAAGAAAAACAGGGCCAGGGATTTAGCTCAGTGTTTCTGCTGCCTGTCTCTTAAGCACAGGGGCCTGAGTTCGATCCCCGATACAAAAAAAAAAAAAAAAAAAAAAGGTAGGCAGTTTCGGTGTTGACCTGTTTGGTGGCACAGGAGTGGACAGTCTGATTTGAAAAGGTTCCTTTAGGCCTTGGGACAAATAGAGGCAAGGTCTGAGCATCGTGTTCTGTTCTCATGAAGGTGACGCAGCGCTGAAGGAAGTGCATGGGGCTTGGGATCTGGTGGATACACTTTGAATCTGAATCCTTTGAAACCCAACAAGGCAAATGCAGCCAGGTCACCAAGCTTTCTGAGCGTCACTGACCCTGGGTGACACATAAGGCTTGTTCTGCACACCCACAACTATGCAGAATGCTTTGTCATTAAACGACCTCCACTGATTATGCTCATGGGCTCACATGGCCTCGGATGGGAAGACTGACATGGGTAGAGGTGGTGGAAAGCTTGGGGGCTGGAACCATCTAAAGTCTGGTGTTCATCTGCCTGGCCCCTGAGCTGGGATGACTTGAGGGCTGGGTGCAGCTCGCGCCATACACTGGCCCCCTCACGTGGCTGCCCCGTGAGACTTGTGCTTCTCGCAGCTGGGAGTCCGGCTCCAGGGTGTGTTGGCCGTCAGGGTGCCGAGCAACAGGTGCCTCATGGCCTGGTGTGACCAAGCCCACAAGCCCATAGTATCTCTCCGACCATACTCTATTAGTTGGACGGTCACAAACCCACTCAGATTCATGGGGACATTTGATTGAAGGGCAGACTGTCAAAGAATCTGTGGCTATTTTTAATAATAATGATCATAAAGGTAATACTCCTCCTTGGTAGGGTTTCTGTGAGGACTGGGCTGATGGACACAATGCTGTCACAGGTGCACTGCAGGATGGAAACTCTTATACTCAGATATTAGTGCTGTTGGATATTACAGACCCAGGGCTGCTGCAGCACCCACCCGCACACAAGAAGCCAGCATCCGGCCTCATGTGGTGCCTCCCGTGCTTCAGTGCAACTAAGTCAAATGTATTCAAGCCCTGTGCAGACCAGAAAGGGACATAGGGGGCTGTGATTTAAATGTACAACGCAGCTGCACTAAATGCTCTGGGGTTTTTAGCTCCAGGCATGGAACTTCTGCCACATCATGTGGCACTGAAGGCACAAGATGTTCAGGATTTTCCTGTTTTAGGATGGAAGCCACAGAAGCAGATCCTCAGGGTAGACAGTGAGGAAGCGCAGAGGGCAGAGAGGAAAAGCAAGAAGCCCCAAAGCCCTGAAGGAAGCCAGACTGCTGGGTGCCCTGGAGCGCAGGGCCTCTTACCTACCTTCCCCATCCTGGGCTCCGAGACCAGGGCCCGGAACTCAGGATTGTTCTGAGCATAGGACCGGAGGTGAGCAGAAATGTGATCCAACTGTTTTCTCCAGTACCCTAAAAAAAGAAGAGAACCCAGACATACAGATAATTCTTCTGAGTCTGAGAAAAAGATGTGGCCGGGGAGTTAGCTCAGTGGTTCCGCCGCCAGCGTTGCAAGTGCAAGGGCCTGAGTTCGATCCCCACCCCGCCCATACCAAAGAAAACAAAACAGAAAAAGTTGTGTCACTGTGGGACATCCATTCTCAGGGAGGCTGTTTGCTTTGCTAAACCTTGCAATGCTTTTTCCTTACTGAATCTCAACTGTGCACAGAAATTGTTCCTTTCTTCCCTCTCCAGCTTCTTATTACACACGATAGAATACTGTAGAACTCCAGTAGAATACTGGAGGATCTCAAAAGAATATACTTTGATTGCCACACATGAAACCCTTTTCTCTCTTCTTCTTCTTCTTTTTTTATTAAACTGCACAGCAACGTTTATTGTTTCAGTCTGGAAAAAACATCCCTTTTTAAAATTCACACAGCAAAGCAAGTTAAAAATGTCACTCATCAAATAAATGATTATTTATTTTTGATACCAGGGATTGAACTTGGGTCCTTGCACCTGTGAGGCAGGCAGCAGAACCACTGAACTAAATCCCCGGCCCCAAATAAATGATAATTTAAAGAAGAACTTGCTAAAGAAACCTCATCACAGCAACGTTTTAGGGCCTGATTACTTTAAGTTCATGGGCCATTAATGAATATCAACCAAGTGTCTCTTATATAATCTGCAAGCTGTTTTTCCTTCAGAAGGTGTAACATGTTTCCTTGACTCAGGTGATACATTTAGAAAGGAAATCGTGATTTTTTTCTTTTACTATAATAAGCAGACACTGATTTCTTGTTGTGATCAGGAGGGATGGAATGACTGCTGCCCTTCTCTTGCTGCTATTAATAGCTTGTCATGCATTATCTCAATGTGTGAGTAGTCAAGCAACTGAAGATAGTTCGCACGAGTCATTACAGAGGGTAAGAAGTCATCTGGGTTTTCTGTTCATTCCAATGTCTTCTGGACAACTGTCAAAGGTGGATTCAGGCTCCAGAAACCTCCAACAGGCAATCTTGGGCTACCAGTCACAAACTGGAGGAACAACCTTTGCTGCTCATTATCAAAACCACTGAGAATTTCAAACAAGAACTTTGACAGCTCAGCTGTCATGGATATAACTGTGATCAGGCCTACAGCACTCAATGTCTTTGCATCCCAAGTGTCTGCTTTACTGCCACACAGGAGCTGATCTAATTCCTCCAGGAAGAAGTACTGAAGATGACTGAGTGGGAAAACGGATTCATATCCATCTCCAAACAAGTCAAACTACCTAGAAATGCCTTCGTTTAGTGCCCAGAAGATCACCAATCTTAGACACTACTCTAAATTGTGATTGTAACTTGGATATCCTTCCCGGGATATCCTTCTGTTCAATATTAGGAAGTCCTAGCAGTGTGAAAACCAATCCTAGATCTTTAGCTGAGCAGCCATTCATAGTAGGGGTTTTTAATGCATATTATAGACTCTCTTTGGTTTAATTCCATTGTTCTTGCCAATTTCTCATACTTCTGAGTCCTGTTTTATTAGTATCTTTCATTACACTGTATGGCTGCCTCGATGCCCTCAATCCGTTTACAGCTTTCCTGGTCATTTTGATCTGGGGGAAGAGCCAGAGGTTGCCCAGTACCAGATCTACCGAGTAAGGTGGATATAGACACACTGTAATGTTTTTAAGCAGCCTGACTTTCTCGAAACCCTTCTTTTTCTATTATTCTCTCACATATATCACACCCACACACACACACCCACACACACACACACACACACACACCCCTATATATATTTTGGTACTGGGGATCGAACTCAGGACATTGCACTTGCGAGGCAGGTGGTGGCACTAATGAGCTAAATCCCCAGCCCAAACTTGTATAATTTTTAAATATACACTTTGGGTTTGGCAAATATTATATCCTGATTAACATACAGAACATTTTCATCACTCCGAACAGCCCCCTATGTCCCTTTCTGGTCTGCACGGGGCTTGAACACATTTGCCTTAGTTGCCACTGAAGCATGGGAGGCACCACATGAGGCCGGATGCTGGCTTCTTGTGTGCGGGTGGGTGCTGCAGCAGCCCTGGGCCCATCATGCTGCACACACGGGCGAGTGGGTCAAGAGCCATGGAAAGGATGGGGCATGAGCTGGCCACACACCATATGCCACATTCTGTAATCCACATTCTGGACTTCTGTACACAGGGCCGGCTTCCCAAAGAGCAAGTGGTAGCAGAAGTCTTCATTCATCTTCAGGCCCAATCCCAGCACTGTCACAGTGTCTCCTCTGCTACTTCCTGTGGCCAAAGCAAGCCACAAGGCCAATTCATATCCCAAAGGAGGGCAAACAGCCGTGCCTGTTAAGACCAAGAGGCACGTGATCTGCTGCAGCACTGATGGAATTACAGGTGTGTGTCACTGTGCCCAGCTAGGGAATAGCAATGAAAACAATAATGAAACGCCACTTTCTTCCCACAATGATGACAATGATGAAAAAGATCATAACAAGAAACGATGTGGAGAAGTCAGAGCCTTTATGCATTGTCAGTTGGGATGGAAACAGTGCAGAAGCCGGAACACAGCCCAGAAGTTCCTCAGAAAGGTCAACATAAGGTCACCACATAACCCATCAACAGTCCTTCTATGTGTGACCCCAAGAGGATTGGAAACAGCCACAGAAAAACAGATGTTCACAGCAGCATGATTCGTAAGGGTCAAGAGGTGGGAACAAGTCAGAGGTCCACCAACCAACAGGTGGACAGACGGGGTGACATGGATTCATGTGACAGTCTCCTATGGCCACGGAAAGGAAATGAAGTTCGAGCGCACTGCAGCAAGAATGAAGCAACACTGCTGGATAGGAGAAGCCGGCCCGAGGGCCACCTATTACGCACTTCCGTCTAAAGGCAATGTCCGGAAGAGGCGAAGCCCTAAAGACAGAGTGTGTTAGTGGTTCCAGGCCCTTGGGAGGCGGAACGTGGGCAGTGACCCCTTAAGGAGCACAGGTTGACTTCTGGGGGACTTGAGTGTTCAGGAGCTAGTAGTGCTGGCTGCAGGGTACGGTCAGTGGAATTCACGTCACCGAATTGCATGCTTTCCAACAGATGAAATGACGGCTTTCATCGTGTGTGAATTCTGCCTCGATTGAAAGACGAGAGCTGGGGTGGTGACCCTCACAGTGTAGGCTCAGCACATGTCTGCTGTGTGGTCAGAGCGGAAGGGATCCACTGGTGCTGTGTGATTGCTGAGCTAGACACAGGGCCACGAGCCAAAATATCAGAGTGCTTTGGGCTCAGGAAGAGCTCGAATCTTCACACAAGGAAAATTACTTGAAGAGAGAAATGAAGGGGACTTATCTCCCGCACACACATAAACACTGCCTACTCAGGGGGAGCCTCGCTGGGCCTCACCTCTGCCTGGGCTCACGGCCGTCAGCGGGGGCCTGCGGCTGGGTGTCTCCAGCTCCAGCTCCTTTGCAGCCAGCCGTCGGCTGGACGGGTAGAAGAGGCCCACGGTCTGGGTGCCTGTGTGCTTCTTAGGCCCAGCATCAGGGCTGGACAGAGGGACAGTTAGGGGCTGCCAAGCATAGCGGGGCTAGAATGGGGCAGAAAACAGTTTTCTAAAAATTAGGATATAATTTAGTTAATTGTTCACCTCCGTTTTACTCATGGAAAGGGTTTCTAATCAGAAAGAAAAGTACCTCCAAAACTCTGTTCTCTGTATGACGGCCCTGCTCCAACTTCTTGGCTTCCACTTTTTCCTGGCAATTCTCAGCCTGAACCAAGAAGCCACCCCATGTCTTTGCTCATTTGTTGTCTCAAATTCCTCTCCTGCCCAAAGCCTAGGAGATATACATCCCCTCCGTTCCACAATCCAGTGGAACATAGACTTCCCTCTGCAGCTACTCAATACCCCATATTTAACTACTGGGCACGAACATTTTCTTGGTATACTCTCCTACATCCGGATCTGGGGGCCTCAGAGGATCGCCATGTAAGGCTGTGTAGGCTGTACACCGCACAATGCCACTTCATCTAAAGAGGCACCATTCACATGCTGGACAGAGTATATATTTGCATATTAGGACAATTTTTCTGGGAGAGGGAAGAAAATGTCTAACAAATTTCATGTATTACAATCATTTTCCAATAGATGGCAGTCAAGTGTATTGAGAAAAAAACCATCTTTGCTTCATTTACGCAAAGGCATCTTATGCGCTGGTGGTGGTCCCAGGAGCCTTCTAATCTGGGTCACGAAGGCCAAGAACTCCCTAAAACTGTGTGCAAGGTGCTGAGTGCATGAGCAATCGTCAGTACATGAAGTAAGCTTTCGGCACTATGGGTGAGCAGAGGAAAGGTCGCTACCAGTACAACTCAAGGGAGGTACATTCTATCTTGTGACTTTGAGATCCACTAACAACACTACTGCCATTCTGCCTGTTGCCTGCAAACACTAGTGGATTTTAATCTACATCAGCCAAATGCATGCTTACTTAGATCTTTGATTTTTGAAGAAATCATTTGTATGTTTAAAGCCTCAATTGATCGAGTGTAGTCACATACATGCTAGTTGAAAGTCCACAAGGACAGCCTAAAGATTGCAGCTCTCTTGCCCTGGGCTGAGTCAGGGGGTCATGTGCAGAAATTCAGAGTGGTGCCCTCCCCTGGCACCAGTTCTGACCACGGTGGAGACCTCACCTGAGACGCGGGGCAGGGCTCCCCAGCCAGTACAGGCGGGATGCTGTCCAGGCTCCGTCTTGCCATGGAGTTCACACAAATGCCACAGGAAGCACAGAACCGAGCAGATGGGTGATTGCTGGCCCCACATTTAGGGCAGACAGAGTGGCTGGGAGAAAGGCCAAGCTAGAGGAGAGAGGAAATTTTTATATGAGAGCTATATTTTGCCCATAAAAATTATTTTCACACCATACAATCTCTAGCCAGCAGGACAACATGTGCTCATGCCGTTTGACCCAAAATTCATGCTACGTGTGGACAAGTACTCAAAGAAATATATTCTGGGGCATCTCTTACAGCAGTGGGGTTTTAGAGGAGATAACTGGGAATGACCTATGTGTCCAGCAGTTGGGGCTAGGTGGCCTAACGGCATCATGGAGTGTACATACAGACACGGGGTATTATGAAGCTACTGGAAACGACGAAGAGGCCACCAGCAGACACGTTGCTGGGGGTGAAGGAGTGGGTCCTTGTTCATAACAACACCAGCTTGTTCATAAACACACGGGTAGCTGGCAAAGCAACTTAGAAACTGAGCGGTAGCCATTACTTCTGGGGAATGGAACAGCGGCGCTCAATGAGAAGGGAGATAATCCTTCCTCTAAACCTTTTGAAGGGTTCCTCAGACAAATAAACATATAAATAACTTTCCATGTTTTGTTGAAAAGGTAGGCAGACACGAATCATAAAAGTAGAAATGCCAGTGGTCAATAAATGAGCACAACAATTTAACCTCAAAGAAATGGAAGTCGAAATCGCAGCAAGAAACAGCGCTCAGCATAAGAGAATCTGTCATCTCTGTCTCTAAGCTCTTAGCGGCCACAGGAGAAGAGCCTGGCCTCCTGCAGGACAGGGGTGCCGCACTACCCACCATGGCTCCACACCAGTCGCAGAAGATTGCCTCCCCGAGGTTCTGGCGGCCACATCTGCACCAGGAAGTGGTCTCCCCTTTCTGGGTCGGCAGAGGGGGCACTTTCTCTCCACTGTTCCGGGACTGGTGGACAAAACGGCATTGACAGGCAGGATCAATTCCATATTCTGTGGCTCCCACACAATCCAATCAAGGCATAAACAATGCAAACAATGCAAGCCCTGGAATCTAGAAAGTTTTTGGCCCAGTAATAAATCTATGGTGCTCTTCATCGTTTCACGAATTAATTCACACAGGCCTTCACGTAGATCACAGGAAGTCACGGACACGGAGAATCCTCAGTCTCTTGCATGCCAAAGGCGGTGAGCCTGCTGTTGATGTCACAGAGCAACAGCAGTGCACAGAGAACTCAGCTACCTAAGATGCCCTAATGGAGGGTCACCTCTGTCTTTTGGGTTCTGGCTTCTGTGGGAAATGTGGGTTTACATTTTCTTGTTTTGGAAGGGAGACCGAATTGTTTCAGGAGGACCTCTGAGACAACTGGGTAGTCTTGAATTGGATCTTTGCTCCTGACATGTAATCCCAGTTGCCTAGGAAGAGATTTTCCCATTTCCCAAACGTGGATGACATTTGAGAGTGACAGCTGCCTGGTCACCTACCATGTGCCGGTACCATTCTGAGCACTGTCCTGTACGCTCTTGCTAACCTGACAACAATCTGTGAGGTAGGTGTTGTCACTGTCCCGTTTTACATAGCGGGGTCACAGAGGGGTGAGACAGACCCAAGGTCTCTGACATGAAAAGTCTTGACCCATCCAGCATCCCATGCAGCTCCACCAGGGCGACGGCTCCTCGCAGGCCTGTGGCTGACATTGCAGGTAAGAACCGGGGACGTTGGACACAGACTCAGGCATCAGTGCCCTGCCCTGACATCGTGGTGTCCACTGGGCCCCGACTTCTTCAAAGGGAAGACTATAAGTTCACATCTGCCATGCTGGCACGTGGAAGTCCCTCGATAGTTACTGCATCAGTGAATAACTGATTCAGTTAATGGCTGGAGGGTATGGCCACATATCCAGTGTATAATGCTAGGAAAGTAAATTCAGGGAAATGTCTTCTCAGGACAAGTTTTCTTTGCAGATGCCCAATTTAGTGGCTGTATTTGAACAGCTGTACCCTATTTGGCTTCAGGGAGCTCTGTTACCCTAAAACAATCTATTCTGCACAGAAGCCATATAAGCCTCTAACATCCACAACGCCAAGGAAGGGGACCTCTCATTTCTGTGCATTGAGAGATGACTTCATTTCAATCAGTTTAGTGTTAAAACGGGATTTTGATATAAAACTTGCTGACCTCGGTTTCTTTTTTCTTTCTTTTTTTTTGGTACCAGGGATTGAACTTGGGACCTTGCACTTGTAAGGCAGGCAGTGGAACCACTGAGCTAAATCCCCAGCCCCTGACCTGGGTTTCTAAAACGAAGCTGTTAAAGCTTTCAATGAAAGGCATCTACTGTTTAAGCTTTTAATATAACACTGCTTTAAAGAAAGAAAAATTATCTTACCCCATCATATTAATGCTGCACAAACAAAAAAAGACGTAAATCTATCAGATTGAACATGTACTGTTACTTCTATGGTACTATAATAAATACATTCTAACATCTAAATTCTCATAAATCATTCATATACAATTTTGAGATTTTTCCTAAAACATTTTGTTGATAGAAGAGACCCAGAAACAAATATATCACTGATAGTTAATAACGTTGATCTAAATTTTTAACTATTTATATAAGCCCAGAAGCCCTGAGAATGGGAATCTGAGAAAATAAATATTTTTGTCAGTTTACTTACCTATCACCAAGATCATGCCAAGAATGATTCTCAAGTGCCACTATTTTCTATATCAATGCCTTCCTAACCTCACTATTATTCTTTATTTTTTTCGGTGGGTACCTGGGATTGAACTCAGGACCTTTCATTTGCCAGGCAGGCATGGTTCCACTGAGCTAAATCCCTGGCCCTATTCATTCTTGTGCTTTAGAAAACCATACTGGAGGGGGTCAAAACTGAGTAATTTCATGATGGAAGAGTGATATAAAATCTGAAATCATAGTTCTAGATAACTATCAATAAGAGAGTACCTAAAAATTTCATCAATATATCTATACTGAGGAATGCTACTCATTGATCAAAATTATTTAAAAATATATTAATGCCTGCAACAACATAAATGAACCTCAAATATATTCTTCTAAGTTAAAGAAACAACACACACACAACTATATACTTCTGTAAAACACAATACTATGGTGTCAAAACAGATGGGTATTTTCTGGGCTAGGGATCAGAGGGGGGCTCAACTACAGAGGGGCCTGAGGAAGCTTTTTAGTGTAAGTTAACTGTTCAATAGCTTCACTATGGCTGTGGTTAAAGTGATTATATATAATTGTGTGTTAGGCAGCTCTCCATCGCTGTGACAAAATTTCTGAGTGAGCTAAACAGTTCATAAGGAGGAAAGGTTTGTTTGGGCTCATGATTTCCAAAGTTTCACCTGCCCCTGCTGTTTTGGGAGGCAAAGTACATCATGGCTGGAGCACACAGTAGAGGAAGCCCACTCACCTCAAGTGGCCAGGAGGCACAGAGAGACACAGGAGACCCAATATCCCCTCAGGGACACGCCCCCAGTGACGTGATTTCCTTCCACGAGGTCCTTTTCCTTGGAGGTCCCACCACCTCCCAATAGCACCATAGGCTGGGAACCAATCCCTCAGCTCTTGAGACTTCAGGGACACTTCCAAGCCACAACAATTACCAACATTCATCAGACTTGACAACTAAGACAGGTGAATTGCACAGCATATAATTATGCCTCATTAAAGCTGAGAACAAAAATAGTTCTTTCAAATCAACTGATCTCAGATGGTCAGCGATGAAATGCAACTTGGAAAGATATTGAGTCCAGCTCCCTTGTTATGGGTTGAAATACAACTCCCCAGCAAGCTGTCTTTCGACATGCCTTATAACGAGATCATACTTGGAAACAGTCTTTACAGAGGTGGTTGGATAAGGATGTGCTCATTAGGATCGGCCATAACCCAGTATGACTGGGGTCCTCACAGAGAAGAGAAATCACAGCACATAGGCAGATACCCACAGAGGGAAGGTGACACGGAGTCCCACATGCGACAGCTAGGTGAGAACGGGAGTGATGTGCCCAGGAGCACTGTGGAGCATGCAGCTACCAGATGCAAAGATAGTGCTCTGGGACAGTTCCTTCAGAGGGAGGGAGCCCTGTGACACCTCGATTCAGATTCTGGCTCTCAGGACTATGGACAGCAAGTTCCTGCCATCTTTAGCCACCTAGTTGGTGGCAGCTTGTTTCAGCAGCCCTAAGAAACACACCTTCTTCTCCTATTTCACACTGACCACGCTAATCATCGCATGGCATGCAGTTTCCTGAGGACTCTGAGATGAAAACAAAGTCATAGTCAAAAATATACATATTGGCCCTGAAGAAGCAAGGCTCTTTCTTCTAAGTTAACCATTCAATGTGACTTCTGGATACTTTTAGGCTGAGGCAAGAGTTACAGTACCTGGAAGTAATTTTCAATCTTTTGAGAAACATTTTATAAACATGAAATAAATCATCAAAATTGAACCCATAAACAGTATATTCTTCCGTTCTTTCATTTCAACACTCAGAGTGGTCAGGCAGGAAACCGAACAGGTAACTGTGCTGCTCTTATCTTCCAAAAAGCAGCAGCTGGCAGGCACACACCGTCTGCACACAACATGTGTGGGTCCACATCCCACCGGCTATGCCAGCTCACCAGGCAAAAATTCTTAAACAGTGAGAAAGCATCAATTTTACTGAAGCCTCTCGAAGTTAGGACTTTGCAGACAGTGTGTGCTGATGGATGTATAAAGCCCTCTGAACATGAGTCTGTGCTGTCTTGTGGTTACCACAAGAAGCTTCTTTCCCCTTTGGTCCTCCTCCCTGCACTGAAGATTTCTCCATTAACACTGAACATCAACAGCCATGAAATCACGCTTGGCACATGCAGCCCACCTACCTCTTGTGGTGCAGGCAGGGCCCCCTCGCAGGTGACACAGAATCGTAGGTGTGCAGGATTCCCTGTACCACAGGAGCGGCAGATCACCTTCTCCTTACAGCAGAGAATGAGAAACACAGCTGAGCAAATGCCAGTGCAGAGAACCCCCTCTCTCGGCATCTTTTCAGCCACCAGCCAGCTCTGGCCCTGCCACGACACCCATACCCTACCCAGTGGGCTGGTTTCGGAATTATCACAACATAAGTAGTGCCAGGGCAATGAACACAGTTTTAAATGAAACAAATCACAGACAAACTTAAAACAGTACTCATTTGGCCTTGAGAGGGTAATTTGAAAATTTTGCACAGCTTATGGGTGGGCTGAAGTGGGGCACTCGATAGGTGGTAGGCTCGCTGCTTCATGGCTTCAACAGGAACCAGGACTCAAGACCAGCAAGAGCTATCTGTGTATTTGGATTGGGGTTTGTGTGAGATATTTTAGAAAGGGATTGGTAGGTGCAACTTTCTGAGTTAGGAACCCAGGAGGGCGAGGTAGGAGGGTGGGGTATTGAATAGCCTAGTGTAACTGGAGTTTAGCTAGGAGAAGTTTCCTAACACTCATTGTCACTGGGTTATTCTATACTCTGAGGACATCACCTTTTCAATTTTCTTTAACAATGCTCACATTTTCTACTCCAGGACCGTGGTCCCTAGCCCTGAAGCTGACAGAGTGTCCTAAGGCCAGTACAGGTAAAGAGGACGATCAAAAAAAACAAGCCCAGCGACTGGGTTTTTATCTCCAATACCACCAGTTATTGGATGCCCAAGTGTTGCTGTGTCTGGTTAACTGTTTCCCAGAAAACTCCACAGCCTCCTAGGAATCTGTAGCATCCCAGGGAACCAGTTTTAAATACAGGTAAATCCTAAAGGGCAGAGGCCCACTCACTGCTAGACAGTATGGTGGAGAATCACAGTCCTATTCCCAGTGGTTCCTGCCCTCCCTGGGTCCCAAACTCTTTAGTTACTTAAAGTCAGCACAGCATAAGCTGCAAGTACCAGGGCTCTTCTGTGAGATCTGGGGAGCAAAGCTGCCTGGAGATGTTACCTTGGACAAGATCTGGTGAAACTCAATGAGAAACGAGACAACTTTCCTGTCCCTGTGTTAAAAAAAAGTGCTGATCAAACAAAAACAATCTCATTGTTTGCCACAGGAAATCCTTCCTCTAGGAAGAGAAGATGAAGCCCCTAAAACTGCTCACTTATCAAGTTCAACTTCCTTTGAGGCCCTCACCTCGCACACTAAAGCTTTGCCCAATCTAAATTCTTCCTGATTCCAGCCCTGCCTTGTAAAACCATTTAGTTTTCATTTTAGGTAGTGAACGTTATTTTTCAGAAAGTGCTAGGCTCATAGTGGAAGTGAGCAAAAATTACAGAAGCTTCCCATAAACCTTTGTTCCCACACGTCCCGCCTCCCTCACTGTGGACGTGAGCAGCACAGTGCAGCTGTGTGACAGCTGATGACACTGCAGGAACATCTCAGTACCCCTCACCATCCCGTTTACACTGGGAGCTGCTTCTACAACACCCTTTTTAAATCATCTCATTCCAGCAATAAATCCCTATACTCTTCCCTTTCATCTCTTTTCTAATTGACTACAAAGACTCTCTCAAAGTAGTGGTCTACTTCACTGCACTGGGCCTACTGAACATCGTTTTCTTGCTTAATACATTTTTCTGTGGTTTTTGTCACCACACCACAGTTTACTTCTTCCCTAGCAGGGACTGCGACCTCCACTTAGAAATCATTGCTATCAGCTGGGCATGGTCACACCCATGTAATCCCAGCACTCGGGAGGCTGAGGCAGGAGGAGTTCAAAGCCAGTCTGGGTTACACAGTGCGTTCAAGGCTAGCCTGGACTACAAAGCAAGATCCTGTCTCAAAAAACAAAGCAAGCAAGCAAGCAATCATTGCTATCACTGCCCACTGCACTTAAGACTTGCAGATGTTCATGGGGATGATATGAGATCGAGGCCACCATCTGATGGCCTTAGTGAAGATGCTAAAAAGCTACCATGAGGACTTTTAGGAAAAGTCAGTGACCTCATTTGCCATCTCATCCACAGCATTTGCAACATACAGTATTACTGAGTTGAATGGTTCTAAGTAATTTATGGCAATAAATCCCACTTAGTCAATCAGGTAAAACTTCTTTATGAAATATTTGGAAGATGAAATAATTGTCAAAATCCCAAATGCTAAGCTTTAAGTGACATGATAATATGAGGAAGGATATTGGGAACCATCTAATAGGTCAGAATTATTCTGCCTAGAACATCTCTTCTTCCCTGCTGACCCTCCCACAAACACACAAGCCCCTTCTCCTGCCCTGTAAGAAGAGGGCCCCTCCTGGAATTAACAGTAATGAGCTTATCCTCAATATAGGATTTATATCAAATTAAAGGGGGAAATTACTTAAACCTTTGTGTTTCTCTGTCTGCCTACAACATGGGAGGAAATACGGACTTCAGATTTTGAAGATAGCATTATACCTATTGAATTTATGACACAGCTAACACCCCCCCTTCTTCCTGTTTTGAATATCTGAAGATGTCTGGAAAGATATTATCTCTGAACATCCCGAGTAAATGTATTAACAAGAGTTGGTTCTATTGAGATTGACAGAAAATCCAAAATGCCAGTCATTTAAACCAGAGAGAAGGTGATATCTCTCTCTCCCCTTATGAGAAGTCTGGAGACAGGCTTCCAGGGCTGTTGGGTGATCTTCCTGGGGTAGCTTTGAAAGTTTCTTAAAACTGAAATAAGCATCTAGCAAAAAGCTTAGTCAATTTTCATCCACCTGACTTTGACCCAACCAGTTCTGTAAAAACTCATTTCTCGGGCTGGGGATTTAGCTCATTGGTGTCGCCACCTGCCTCACAAGTACAAGGTCCCAAGTTCAATCCCCAGGACCCCCGCCAAAAAACAAAACAAACAAACAAACAAAAACAACTCATTTCTGAAGAGAGTCAGGAGTGTAGCTCAGTGGCACTGTACCTGCCTGGCAAGTGCAAGCAAGGTCCTAAACTAGATCCCTGGTACCAACCTCCCCCCAACAACAAAAAAAAAAAAACCCAAAACCAAACAAACTTATTTCTGAAGGTTTAAACGTTTGTTTGTTTGTTTATTGGTACCGTGGATTGAACTCAGGTCCTTGCACTTGTGAGGCAGGTGGTGGCACCACTGAGCTAAATCCCCGGCCCACTGAAGGTTTACACTAGTGAACCTTTCACAGTGAAGGGGGCTTGGAGAGGGAAGAGAAAATGGACTTGTCTTTTTTGCAACACTGTTTGCCTATCCAAGATCCAGAAGGCCTTTTTGGAAATGTCCCTTACTTCCGGGCTGCCATGAGGTAAGCAGCTTTCCTACACCACACCCCTCCACCAGGATGTTCTGGCAAGGAGCCAGCTGACCGTGGCCTGAAACTCTGAAACCACAAGCTAAAATAAACTTTTCCTTTCAGTTACTTTGCTCAGGAATTTTTTCACAGCAGCAGAAAGCTGATTAACACAGTGTTACACTTCTAACTGTCCACTGAGTCCATGCATTTCCCTTATAGCTATAAACTCTTGCATTTTCACCCTTTAATTAAATGTTTTATCTTCTAGTGACCTTTACTTGGAGAGAGGGAAGGTGATGGGACTGTAACTGAAAAACTTAGAAAAGATAGTTTTATGCCCAATGATTCTATAAGAAAAAAACTTCACAGTATCTGTCTAGCAACATTTTTAAATTATATGTGACAAAATGTGATGTTGTCTTCCATGCAATTAGTTTTAATCATTCTTCTTATGCATAATAGGGACTTATAATCAAATAAAGCAAACAAAAGCATGAAACCACTTCAAGACAAGGTAATAAGTCAATATTAATTGCAAGGTTGAAGTTTAAAAAAATAAGTAAAGAACTGTTTAAATCAGCTGTAGTGTAATTTGTCTTCCAAATTCATGTTAAGGGAATATATTCCTAAGTATTGCTCTTGGTATTATAGATCCTATTGGCAAGTTAAACAACTGGGCAGTATGCTTTTCCATAAATTTGATGGAATTTGTTTACAGATGTTAGCTTACCAATTGTTAGCCCGCTCCACCAGTGGAAGAAAGACATACTGGTTCCAACAGTACTTTCTATGCATTTTATTTCTGTGTTTTGCAGAATTACTTCATTACCTGGCCAGGGATTTAGCTCAGTGGCACAGCACCTGCCTCACAAGTCCAAGTTCGAACCCAGTATCCAAAAAATAAAAAGAATCACTTCATTACCTTCAAGTGGAGGCTGGCCTGGGGCTGCAGCTGTAGAGCAAGTGGGGCCTCACATACCACACAGATGGGGGTGTTCATGGGCACCACGTTTCCACATTCTGCACACAAGCCCATCTGTGCAAGGGAAAAAGCTGACTTTGTCTCAGGATGCAAAAATGGAAGGGATGAGAAGGACTTGGAATGTCAGATTTCATTTTCTTGTGTCAAACAAATTTAAAACAATTACTTTTATCACTATTTTATTTCTATTAAGAGTAAAGAGGGCTGGGGATTTAGCTCAGTGGTTCCGCCACCTGCCTTGTAAGCACAAGGACTCAAGTTCGATCCCTAGTGCCAAAAAAAAGGATGTGTTTAGTGTAGCAAAGTGTTAAAAAAGAAAAACATAAATAGGAGATTATAGCACAATGGAGTAAGAAGGTGGATAAGTCCTCTCCCCAAAGAGTAATCATAAAGTTGGTGGCATCTGAGAGTCAAAGGTGGACAACAAACTACAAAGTTCCTGAAAATGGCAGCCTCCAGCTAAGAGCACTAAAATCTACGTGGCTCTTGCACAGGACCACGTCCCCTGCATCCCCAGCTCCATCTGTGTGGCAGCTCTGACAGACTGTGAAGAGTGGGGCTCTGTGGCTGCTGGTGGACACGGCTTCCGCCATCTGGAGCCCCGATAAGACTGTGGACTTGGTGGCAGCCAGCAGCGAGGATCACAGTTTCCCCTGGCCTGAGATTCCAGTCCTGGGTGCAGTGACCAATGGGCCTGGAAATGCCCAAGGTGTCCAGGAGGTGATAAACTAGGAGCTGAATGGGCCCAGATGTCCTCAGGTCACCTGGGGCAGCGCAAACCAGCACGGCCTCAGCCACCCCCACGGCCCCCGGCTGAGCACATGGAGGGCAGGGCAGCCCAGGAAAAAGCAAGAGTTTGGGCAGGCTTGGACAGTCTGCCATGCGAGGTGCCACCCGGCCTGCACAGCCCCATCAGCAACCAGCAGGAGCCTGAGGTGCTTGAGCACAATTTCTTACCAGACTTTCAGTGGACGCTAAGGCTTAAATAAAAAACTAGGAGGCCAGGGATATAGTTCAGTGGTACTGCACCTGCCTCTCAAGTACAAGGTCCTGAGTTCAATCACCAGTATTGGGGGAAAAAACTGAAAAACAAACAAACAAACAAAAAAAAACTAGGAAGCATCCTAACATTGCAGAGGAGACAGACAATGAATATTTAATCCAAGTAAACAATGAAACAAAACAACAATCCTAGGGAATAAAGTCAGAATCTAGAGTTGGGACAGTTTATTACCCAGATGCCCAGTAATGCAGAAAAATACTTAAGAGACATACAAAACCAAACCAAAACAAGACAAACAAACACAAGAAAATATGGCCCACACTAAGGAGAAAAACATTCAAAAAAAGTGGTCTGAGTAATCTCACACATTAAATTGAGTAGACGATTCCAAAGCAGCTATTAAAAAAATATTCAAAGAGCTAAGTTAAAGTATGATGACAAGATTTGATAAATATAGAATCTTAATAAAAAGATAGAAATTATTTTAAAAAGAACTATGGCTGAGGCTGTACCTTAGTGGTAAAGCACTCGCCTCGCCTGCATGAGGCCCTGGGTCCAATCCCCAGTTCAAGGAACTTACAATGTCTCTTTTATAAAGAATCAGACTCAAGAAGATGTTGAAATGTTCTTATTTTATACCCCCCCTGCTCCCCACCTTCAGTACCAGTGATTAAACCTAGGGCCTTTGTACTAACCTACAATCCCTGGGCTTGCTTTCTTTCTTCCTTCCTTCCTTCCTTCCTTCCTTCCTTCCTTCCTTCCTTCCTTCCTTTTTCTTTCTTTCTTTCTTTCTTTCTTTCTTTCTTTCTTTCTTTCTTTCTTTTTCTTTCTTTCTTTCTTTCTTTCTTTAGATAATCTCTTGTCAAGTTGCCCAGGCTAGGCTCAAACTCGCAATCCTCCTGCCTCAGCCTCCCAGAATGCTGACATTACAGGTGTGCACCACCACACCCAGCTAGTTTTTTCATTCTTTTTGTTTTGTTTGTTTGTTTGTTTTTTAAACAAAGAATGCAATTTATTAAGAGCTTCACAGACGGGACAGAAGCCTGTCTCGGATTGTTTGATTGTTTGTTTGTTTTTTGGTACCAGGGATCAAACTCAGGACATTGCACTTGCAAAGCAGGTGGCGGAACCACTGAGCTAAATTCCTGGCCAAGTTTTTTCATTCTTAAGGAGGAATGTGGTAGTAAGAGATTAATCTGCTTGTAATTCTTTCCACAGTATTTGTTTGTGGTTCATGTGCACTGGACACTGTGTTACTGCCCAGGTAAAGATCATGCAAACCAATGAAACACATCTGTAAGAATTTTGTGGCTCACCTGCGCTCCTTCTGGGGGTGGAAGACGACAGCCCAATATGGGTGGGACAGGAGCACCGCAGTCCTGACAGAATCTAGCGAAAGGATCTGATGGGCGAGGGGCCAGGCAGTGGGCACACCTGCAACAAAGTGGGTTCCCTTTGGCCAAGTGCGGATGGCTCGTATTAAGACTGGGAAATCTCAAAGTTCAAATGGTTTGAAAAATAAAACAAAACACAAGCGGCCCCCCAGTGGCTGGGGAGCAAGTTTCAGGCAGGAAAGGACTTCCCGAGCTGCTTCAGGTGGAAGGCACCGTGGAGAAGTGTGTTTGCCGCCAGGGGGAGCAACTGAGAGGAATTTGTGGCAATGTATCTTTTACTGCAATAGAATTTTATTTAAACACACACTGTACTTTTTATCCCATTTGATAAGTCCTCTGACCAAGACAGAATTGAATTTGAAACACCCAAGTATATAAGAAAAAAAAGTATATAAAAAAAATCTCTCAATATTTGGAAATTTAACAAAAGACTTCAGACTAACCCACAAATCACAAATAAGTAACAAGGCAAACTTTTTGATTAGACATTTTACCAAAGCAGATGCATGGATGGTAAATAAGCACATAAAAGATACTTAGCAACCCCGGACAATGGAGAAATATAAATTTTAAAAACCACAACAGAAGACCACTAGATCTCACAAGAGTGATCAAAAATTTTAAAAAAGTGTCGGTGAGGATGTAGAGAAACAGGAACTCTCAAACACTGCTGATTAGAATGTAAAAATGGCACCACTGCTTTGAAAAACTAATAATTTCTTTCTTTCTTTCTTTCTTTTTTTTTTTTGGTATGGGATGGGGGATCAAACTCAGGACCTTGCGCTTGCAAGGCAGGCAGCGGAACCACTGAGCTAAAACCCCAGCCCTCAAATTAATAGTTTCTTGACAAGTTAGATATATACACCAATGGTGGAGCCTGTCCCCTCCTTCGAAAGGTTTATTATCCCAAGGGAAATGAAGGCATGGGGGCCACCGTGACTTGAACCCAGACCAACACACTTGAGGGAGCGAGCGGCTAAACAAACTCCAATGTACACGATGGAAACCCAGCAAGACCCAAACTAGCCAGGCAGTGAAGTGAGCGACACGTGATACAAGCAGCAACACAAATGACTTGTGAAATATTTAAGCTGAGTCAAAGAAGCCTGGCAAGGAAAGGGTACAGACTGAATCGCACCACTCACATAGGGAAAGCACTCACTTTGGCTGCACACACACTGAAAAGCACAATTAGTGCAAACTACGACCGAGTGACAAGAGCGGGTCAACAGTTGCCTGTGCCCAGGGAGGGGTGCAGGGGTACAGGTAGAAACTTCTAAAGGGAAGAATTGGTTCATTTGTTGTGATAGTTTCATACATGCATCCATCGAACTATTTTTTTTTTTTTAAGACAGAGTCTTGCTATGTGGTCCAGGCTGGCCTTGAACTTACTATGGAACCCAGGTGGGCATCAGTCCTCCTGCCTCAGCCTCTTGAGTGCTGGGATAACAGGTGTGCACCACCATGCCTGGCTGTCATGTCCCATTTTTAAGTCCTCTTTGACTGCAATGTCCCTCTGTTTGGGTTTAGGCAAAGTAAAGAGTGTGATATGATACGTACTTGAGAAAGTCTGTCTGCCTTTGGATTCTCATGATCTCCGTGCTTGTCAAACTCTTCTGGCCTGGTATGTGTGCAAAACCAGGGGACTGAAATTAAGAATACAGATTGATATAAGTACAAACATAACCTCGGTGTAAGTCGGTAATGGGTATGGAAAAGTAAAATCCCATTAAAAATTCATTTTAATGTTCATTGCATAATTCCTAGCATTCATCTTTTTAAAACCATGATAGGGAAGGATCTAAATATGACTCTGGTATCCAACTTGAAGTGCTATTCATAATCAGATATGTATATTTCATGAAAAAGGAAGGTTTAGGGTCGGGGGCTCAGTGGTGCTGCCATCTGCCTCGCAAGTGCAAGGATCAGAGATCGATGCCCAGTACCCGCCCCTCCAAAAAAGGAAGGTTTACCAAAGAAGATAACTGAACTTATCATCAGACAAATCAAATTTTAGAAGTAGAGAACTTAAGTTAGCTTCCATTTTTATTGGATTATATTTCTGGGAAAAGCCAAAGGACTCCTCTAGGCCACGTACAGCAACTACCTGCTGCTGTCCAGAAACATTTAACTTACCTGAATCCATTTTTATATTTGAGTGCCTACTTTGTCCCAGGGACCGCACTAGATTCAGGGAGGGGACTAAGATAAATATTACAGTCTCCGCCCACAAGGGGCTGGACTCATGGCCTATGTGTAAAATAAAAGAAAGGGGGACTCGGCAGGGCCTCCCACTTGAGTGGAGTCCCACGGGAGCCCAGGAGAGGGGACAACTGAATCCACTCGTTCTAGGGAGGAGGGCTTTTTGGGTGGCAACAACCGAAGTGGACCTGGGAGAGTAAAGAAAACGTAGGCAGCTGGCAGAAGGACAGAGATCCAAGGGCACCACGGCAGGACAGCGCATGTCCCAACCTGGGACTCAGATGGCTTGATGTGGTCTAGAGGTCCCAGTGACAGGAGAATGGCGCAGAAAGACTGGTGGAGAAGGAACATGGATGGGAGGAGCTAACCCAGAGGGAGGGTCCGATGGCCTGTGGGCATCATGTTGTGGCCATCACCAACGTGACATTCACAATGACCCTGTGAGGTGGGTGGGTATAATTTCCATCTTATTTTTAAAACATTGTGTTTTGATATAATGTCAAAGTCACAGGGAAGTTGCAAGGATAGTTCAACTATCTCCTGTCTACCCAGCCTGACCAATTGTTGACATTAATATTTTTCTACATTTCCTTCCATCTTCTACCTGTGAATCGTGTGAGAATAAGTTATAGTCACCTGACATATCTTTGCTCCTAGCCAACTAGAGCGTGCATTTCCCAAGAACAAGGCTGCCCTTCTATAGAAGAGGGTACCGAAGCCAGGAAAGCTAACTCTCTAGTCCACAGCTGGACCTCAACGATGGTGCCAAGAATGTCCTTACAGCTGTGTATTTTTTCCCAGCCCACTCTAGTACTACATTTTGTTTTGTTTTGTTTTTGGTACCGGGGATTGAACTCAGATCCTTGCCTTTGCAAGGCAGGCGGTGTAATCACTGAGCTAAATCCCCAGCCCTCTAGTACTACATTTTGCATTTGGCTGTCCTGTCCCTTTTGTCACCTTGGTCATGCATTTTGGCACAAACTACAGAGAAAGGATTTTCTTTTTTCTTTTCTTTTGTACTGGGGATTGAACTCAGGACCTTGAGTTTGTGAGGCATACGTGGTGCCACCGAGCAAAATCCCTGGCCCCAGAGAGAAAGATTTTGTGCCCATCTCGCTGTGTCACATTCCGGAACATGCAGCCCCCACTTTTGAGCTGAGGGTGCCAAGGCAAAGAAATGCTTGCATGAGTTCCCGTTAACAGTACATGTAGTGAAAACAAAACAAAACAAAACAGTACATGTGGTAAACTCAGGCTGATCTGTCTGCCATCGGTTCCTGGTCTACCCCAATGCCTGTGTTCGGAGCTTGGGGTGTAAAGTTTCATTCCGTGGGAGACGGGGAGCTATTGGAGGGTTTTCCATTGCTTTTGTGTTACATCTAACACAGTCCATAGAAGAACCTGCACACTGGTGGTCCATTGGCATATAGTGTGCCCCTGAGTTTCATGGGCTTATATACCACACACATGGGCTCCCACCATGTTTCAGAGCTTGATTTAGTTTCCCAAATTTTAAATTGGTTTAGTTACTGAGATTAATGGTGCAGGTTTCTGGCCGCTCATGCAAATCCATCCACTGTGGCAACCCTGAGCCTGCAGTCGTTCTTGCTGGTGAGTGTCTGGGGCCAAAGAGAGTGACGTCTTTAGCAAATCTCCACATCGTCAAAGGAGCTACAACCCTGTTGCCTGACACTACAGCACATGTTAGCTGTTATCTAACTTCAGCCTGCCCGGCCTCAAAGGTACCCCTAGGACCCATGCTTAGGTCAGAGACCTCTCATCTCTGTGGAGGCTGTGGACACGTCACAACTCTGGTTTCATTAATTCTGTATTACCCGAAGCACGTTTCATGGGATTGACCTGAACTGCTGAGAAGTCTCTCTCCCTAACACAAAGAACAAAAGTGGGAGAAGGAATTTTTGTGGTTCTTTTCCGGCCTTCCTGGCAAATCTCTTAAATTTTATCTTTGTTCCTATGTTCCTAGCTTTTTGGAATTCTGAATGTTGGAATCCTTACATATTATTTTACTCTGTTTTTCCCTTGAAAACAACTGTTAAATGAGTAAGTGGGCAAGAGAATCCACATATTCATGAACAAAGAAAATAACTGTTTCTAGACACATTATGAATAATTGTGGTCACGGGAGATTGTTTGGTTGAAAGTATTTGCTGTGTCTTCTCCTATACCACTCAGTCTTCCAGGCGATACTTATCTTACAAGCTGTAGCATGTGGGCCCCGCCCCTGCACACTGCCCACAGGAGTTGACAGAGCTCTTCGATCCATTCGGTAACTGGCTAAGCATCTTCCCCAAACACTGGGGAGGGCGACTTTCCATTGCAGATGGTTTGATGGAGATTGTGAGCAGGCACGATCAGATCTGTGGTCCTCTGGCCTGGGCTTTGTGATTCACCATAATGAATGAGCAGAGGGAAGAATCCAGGAGTTAGGCACCTGAGGCTGGAAATGAAGGTAACTTCCTGATTTCAGGACTGGGATAACTATTCTTGGCAGTGACCTTCATCCATGCCAATTATCAAAATCACCAGAAGACTTCATCCACACTTATGGACTCAGAGGGGAAAGTTGTGAATCTCTATAAATTTAAGGTACCCTCGAGGTGATTCTGATAGGCAACCAGGTTTGGGAACCATGTTTTTTGCCATCTTTATACGTGGTTGTAACTGAGAACAGCCTTGGAATCGTAGGCACACAAGAAGCAGTTGTGACAGAGAGAAACTGTGAGTCCTGGTACATTCTGCTCGGGGCTCAGACAGGAGGAAGAGGGCAGGGGTTCCTGGGTTGCTCTTAGAGGCTAAAAGTCTAAAGTGAATTTTATAAACAATGAAACCAAAGCATTATAACAGTAGTAGACTAGTAAGAGAGCATCTTTCTTGTGTTAAAGTAGTAAACGTGCATTGAGAATGGCTTTTCTTAGGATCACAAATCACGTTCCCCCCAGTACGCCAATACTGGTTCTCCGTCCATCTAGTGTGAGTCCTTGGTGATGTACCACATAGTCGATCGCTGCCTTCTTGGAACTTGTGCTTCTCTTGGCATCTGAGGCACCGCATTCTTCTGCTTCCTTCCCACTTCTCTGCCTTTTCTTCCTCTACGCAACCTCTAAGTGGAGGATTTCGTCTGGTGCCACCCTCTCATTTTCTGGTGTTTTTTTTTTTTTTTTTTTTTTTTTTTTTTTTTTTTTTGGTTTTTTGAGACAGGGTCTCACTATGTAGTTGAGACTGACCTGGAACTCACTATTTAGCCCAGGCTGGTCTTGAACTCACAGCGATCCTCCTGCCTCAGCCTCCCGAGTGCTGGGATTACAGGCCAGGCATGTGCCACCACGCCCAGCCTCTAGTTCCTTGATGACTATCTGCCTACCCCAGACCCCAGTGAAGTGTGGTTCTGTGACCATGGAGACACAGCATTCCAGTGCTGGAGCAGGGTATGGCACTCAGTCCAGAGGCTGCCTGACAGCCTTTCCTGGGAAGCATTACAGACATGGGAGGAATTCTGTTACCCAAAAAGCTTCCTTACAAGTTACCTGGGACTGGTGGTTGAGCAGCCTAGAACTTGATCCTTCACAGCAAGCTGGGATTTCCAGTGGACTCTCTGAGAAGCGAAGAGCTTTCAGAGCTTTCAGAAGCGTAGATCTTTCGCCTACCTCGAGGTCTAAAATTACATTAAAAACATTCTCTGTAAGCATTTGTAATTATATAAATCATGTGAATTTGTCTTCAACATCAGAAACCTTTCAATAGGGGGCCAGCGTCACCATATTATTTCCCTAGAAGTAACACTTCTATAAAGGGCCCCTCCCCAACTCAGGGAAATAGACCCGAGAAAGACAAGTAAGCCCAGACTGTCAAATTAATCTTCCCTGATGCACTCATTCTACAGCATTTCACGCCAGCCTGGGAAAACAGTGATCTACCTGAGCTGAAAAATGTCACAGCAACTTCCTCTGTGAGTAACTATTGCTTACTTACTGGGGAATCTTGTTCTCTAAAACCAGAAGGCATCACAACTTTGCTGTCTGAAATCACATCGTAAGAGCAAAATACAGGCGCCTTAGCTAGGTGTGGTAGCGTGTGCCTGTAATCCCAGCAGTCTGAGGGTGAGGCAGGAGGGGTGCAAATTCAAACACAACCTACACAATTTAATAATTCGCAAAATCCTTCCTATGGGAGAGAGAGAAAGGAAGAAAACAAAGAAGAAAGAAAACAGAAAGAAGGGAAGAGAGAGAGAGAGAGAGAGAGGAAAGAAATTTTATCCAAACCACACCCTTTCTTCAAACCCTGCAATTCTCGCCCTTTCCTTTGGTGAGACAATGCCGTGGTCACCTGAATGTGACCTCCCTCAACGCCATGAATCAATCTATCCTACTTGCCAGGTATGGTAGCTCACACTTAACAATCCCAGCACTCAGGAGGCTGAGGCAGGAGGATCACCACAAGTTCAAGGTCAGCCTGGACTACACAGAGACACCCTAACCCTAAAATTAAATGAACAAAAAAACTAACTTTGTTGGACTGTTTGTTTATCCTTCATGGCCTTAATCTGTTAGCTAGGGCAGCACCAAAATTCAAATTCTAGCCCACCTTCTGGCTCTAGGGCTTCTTATTCCAACACCTCTAAAGATGAGCACACAGGCAGTGACCATACACAAAACCTGTTTGGTGGGTCTCCAATACTAAGCCTTATCTTTGTTCTATCGCCTCATACCTGGAAACTTTCGAAGGTTAACATTCCAACCAGGTTTATTTTCAGCACTCTTATATTTTTTCCTTACTTTTGGTCCAACAAATCCATTTTTTAGTTCCTAGGAACAAAGAGATGTGTGTCACTTGATACCCATTTTGAATGCGAGGACACGACAGACAGCATCACCACCTTCTCCTGCCTGGGCCTGAGCAAGTTCATTGTGCCCGGGAAGGACTGGCAGCAAGCCGGTCTTCATGCATGAAGAGCGATTTTCAAAGGGGAAGGACAGTGCAGTAGCAGAGAACGGCACACAGTTTAATTTAGCTGCAGTTTAAACCGTGGGGTGCAGGTGAAGCGTGAAAGGCTGACTGAGGATGGGAATGGATCCCAGGCTAGAAGGTTCTGCTTTCTTTGGTAGGTAAGGGAGAGTCCCGGAAGCCACAGGGCATGGACGTGATGCCGGGTAAGGATTCTAGGCTCCCGGAATTCACAGGATACAGCAGGGGGAACAAAGGCTGGGGGTCGTGAGGCTACCGCACAATGGGCCGCACTGACGTTAGTTCTGAGGAGCTGACTGCGAGCAGAAGTGACAAGGACAGGGAAGATGTTCCCGCTGACAGAGGAGGGGCCAAGAGTCCAGAGAATATGACTCGCCTGCTTTGCAGAGCCTTTGAGAACATTTTCCGCTCTGTCTCCAGAAGAGGCTGGGCTGGGCGGCTCACAGCCTACCTGGAACACCTTCGTGACAATTCCACTCTGTCTGTTGTCTCTGAAAGTTATTTTAGAAGGAGGAGGGGAGAACGAGGAGAAGGAGAAGGGGGGAGGCACGAAGGAAAGAAGAAAAGGAAGGGAGGAAGAAAGGAAAGAATCTGTTATACAAAGCTTCAAAGATAAAGATGGCTGAAAATGGAATACTATGCCTCATTAGGTCATACTTGCTCCTGAAACGAAACATATTTGAACAAAAGAAAAAAAGAAGGGTAGCAATTAAGATGACGCTACTTAAAGTTCCTCAGCCTAGCCACCACATTTACTCTATTTTAAAATAAATCGGTGCTATCAAGACATGATTTCTGTATGGCCTTTCCTTACCCCACTCTCATTTGTGTTACCCTAGTGCTATGTAACAAACAAGCCCAAAATTTAGGGCCTTAAGGCACCGACCCAAGAGCCTGGTTGAATAATCTCAGGCAATTTCTCTCTCTTCCTCCCCTGGCCCTGATTTTGTCTCGCTGCTCACGTCCAGCCAGTGATTCTGCTGGATCTGCCCAGGTACCTAACGCTTTTTAATTTCAGTCATTTTCTTTCTCCAGTGTCCTTTGCTTTGCTTTTAACATCTTATCTGTTTCACTAGCAATTGCTCAGCTTTCTTACGAGCCCATTATTTATGCCTTAAGATGTTTGAAGCTTTACATAAGAAAGTGCCACAAAAGGCTTAAAATGTAAATTCTTAGGAATGCGTTCATGTAGATTCCAAAACAACTGTGAAATGTTTAACATTAAACAACATAGAAATTTTAAGCGGTATTTTATTTATTTATTTATTGATACCGGGGATCAAATTCGGGTCCTTGAGCTTGCAAGGCCAGCGGTGGAACCACTGAGCTAAATCCCCAGTCCATTTAGCTGTATTTTAGAATACAGAGGAAAAAATTCTCAGACATATACAATTCATCTACACAACCACTACCTGGCTGTTGCTTCATTGGTCTGGGAGTGGCCAGACTGGGCACCGAGCAGAGCTCCCTGGGGGGCTCTAATGTGTACCTGTGCTTGGGAGGTGAAATCAGGGGGTCAACATACCACACCCTCCTGCACCCAGGCCCTGAGAACCCGCTCCCACACTACCTGTGCATGTGGCTGTGTGACGTGTGATGGCTAGGAAGCAAATATGACACGAGCAGACACTGGAGAAACATCTGTGGGCTTGGCCTCTCTCCTGCTGCTTTTGGAGCTAAAGTGGGACAGCCCACTGGAGGCAGCAGGTGCAGCCAGTACTTAACAGCAGCTGTGCAAGTCAAGCTTTCCTAAACCGTGAGCCAAAATGTGGCCGAAGCCACATCAGCGATCCTGGGCAGAAGAGCTACCCTGCTAAACGCACCTCCCAATGCTGATCCACAGCATAAGGGGCAAATACAGTGGCAGACACAGGTTTTCCAGTAGTTTGTTATGCAGCCCTAGCTAACTGATTCAGCAGCCAAGGTTGGACAGCATTGGCTCTGTACTTTCAGTCTCTTTTATTTACTATTTATTCTTCTGTTATTTAGTATTACAAAAGGGACATATACATTACACTTTGGAAGCTGCTAAAATTATCAAGAAGAAAATGAGAAACACACGAGAGTACTACAGAGACAATGACAGCTAATGTTTGGCATGTTCTCTTCCAGTCTTTATGGTATGCACTGTAAAACATGGTTAGACTACTAAGTGGTATACACTTGTATCCTCAATTTTTCACTTGTTTTGTCAAAAATGTTTTCCTATGCCATTCAAAACTCCATGACCTAGCATGGCACCAGAGAGAGAGGGAGAGAGAGCGCACGCTAGTGAGGGGGACTAAATATGACCTTCAAAGAGCCAGGCCAGTGACATATCTCTCCAAGCAGGACTTACTCCTTACTCTGACTTTTCCACAACCCCCTCGAAATGCCATTCAGTTATGATTCCATCAGCGGGTTGATCCACCAATGACGTCAGATGCTCTCGATCCAATCCCTCTCCCAGAGCCCATCAGCTGACAACCTTAAGTCCACGTCCTCTGGGGGATGTTTTACATCCAAACCACAACAGGGAGACTGCCGTTTAGAGGCTGGTCAGAAAGGACCGCCTGGAAAGGGGCAGTTGAAGAGATGGGTGAGAGAAGTGAAGGAGTGAGCCCTGTGGTTTACTGAATCCAAGAGTTCTCCGGAGAGACAACAGTATCATCACAGTCCCTACCACAGTGCTTGTGAGCACAGCACAGGAAGAGATGCTGCTTGAAGGTCACTGCTTTATCAGAAAGTGTCCTGTACCTCCAGGGTCCCTTTTCCTTAGGGTCCTAGTCATGAAGTCTCCCTTTCTTGTGAGAACTGCGATATCCCCCCAGCTTGTTTGGACCCGTGGAGTCCTAGGGGCATGAAGAGCACAGCAGCCACCTAAGGGGTCTTGATGCTTCATTTTTGTTCTTAGTGCAGTGTTTTTGCTTTACTTTCTTTTCTTTTTCTTTTGCATTTCCTACAGAGACTATTCAATACCCAGCAGCAGTCGGCAAGCACCAAGCAAAATTGCTTTTCATAATAAAGCTGTTCATCTTCTGGCAAGTCAGAAATTTCTCAAACTGATACTTATAATAAATATGATTAATACCATACTGTAGAAAAAAAAACAAACTCCATGACCATAATTTCTGCTAATAGGTTAATGACCTCCAATCATTAACAGTCTCATCTAAAGTCCTCTGTAACATTATTAGAGAAACTTCTTTGCCAGGAATGGTGGCACAGGCCTGTAATTCCAGCACTCCGGGAGGTTGAGGAAGAAGGATTGCAATTTTAAGCCCAGCCTAGGCAATTTAGACCTCGATTGAAAAAAAAATTGTCAAAAAACAAGTAACACATGTAAAGGCCCTGGGTTCAATCCCCAGTACCTCATCATCATCATCATCATCACTGTGCCAGAAATTCCAATATTTGGTAAAAACAATTATGCTAGTATACAAAGGGCTTTCAAAATTATTATTTTCATTCATTCATTTATGGTACTAGGGATCAAACTCAAGTCCTTACGCTTGTAAGGCAGGTGGCAGAACCACTGAGCTAAATCCCCAGCCCTAAAATTATTATTTTTAGATGCCAAATCTAAAGATCATCTTTGGTATACAAGTTGCCCTCTCCCCAAAAAGCCATGCAGCAGTTCAGCCAGCAGGGGGAGCCTGGGGGGGGTCTTTTTAAAGTGCCTGAGCCAGCCAAGTACTGTATTTGGCTTGGGCTTTAAAGGTGTTCCTCAAAAGTGGCCAAACCTGTTTTGCTGAATGAAGGGATTCTTGTATCACAGCCACCCGGGCTTGCTTAACATTTGAGGTTTGGGTCTTTTTCCCCCCTCATCACAGATAGAGAAGGTTTTCTGGTTAAGTGTTGCTATATTTGCAAATGGGAGTCCCTGAGTAGAGAAGAGTATATATTTTATTTTAAAATTTGCTAATGTCTACCAAGTTGAAATAACAGTAGCTCTGAAGGTAAATGAAATCAGTACAAAAAGGTTTAGAGACTGACAGAGATGGCTGTGGGAACTTGGGGGATACCAGAATCCCTCACTCGACATGGCGCCCTCTTCAGACCTTGCAAAGCTCTTTGGAGGTCCCAACCCCAGAAGGTCTCTTCCTTCCCAAAACCCCAATGTGGAATGTGAAATAAAAACATTATTAATATAACACTTCATACAGCTGTATGCTTAGGATCTGTGCACTTTACAGTACACCTCAACACAAGGCAAACCAAACACAAAAGTTACATACATATGATGAAATTTGTCATTAGTGCCCTTCTAACGCAGCACTGCTTCTCACAGAAAGAAACAAAATTAGAACACAATGTTACTATGTCATAAGTCAGATAATCACTAAGTTCTTAACTTACTTAGACACTGCAATAGCTTTAACTTGTATCTTCCCATCAGGCAGAGTAATAGGTTTTGTATACTTAAATGTGTTATTTTCACCATAACCAATTTTCTTCAGAAATTCAGGTTTGCTGCCATCCAGGGTGTAATATATATTGACATCTGGGGTGTCTGAAAAATCCAAAAGAGACAAACTAAAATAGCAAGACACTAAATAATGTCCATAGACCATTTATTTCTGGAGGTTTTTATATATGTTATAGAAGCAACAATAACTAACAAAAATCCTGTTCTTTCTCGGCATCAGCACGGTGTTGCAGGAAAGAGCTCACTTCGTCTGCATACACAGGTGGGTTCTATCTCATACCTAATTTATAGAGGAGGTTAGTGAATCCCTGAGAGATCAATAGGCTTGCTAAATAACATAATTGTGGTTTGACTTCTATAAGGTTGGACCCTTTGTCCCAGCTTCTAAACCTCTGAGCTCTTTGTTTCTTCCATAAGTCACTGGTATAAATTAAACAGAAGTAGTTTTGAACAACAGAAAACAGAAGCTAATTTTAATTTTCTTTTTTTGGTACTGGGGATCAAACTTGGCACGTTGCATTTGCAAGGCAGGCAGTGGAACCACTGAGCTAAATGTACGGCCCTAATTTTTTATTTTTTAAAGCATCTATTTGTTTGTTTGTTTGTTTTTGGTACCGGGGATTGAACTCGGGTCCTTGCGCTTGCAAGACAGGCCACCAAACCGCTGAGCTAAATCCCCAGCCCTAGCATTTATTTGCTTTATTTGGGGGTGCTAGGGATTGAATCCAGGGCCTCGTGCATGCATGGTTTTTTGGAGATAGGTTCTTGCTATGCACTTCTGGCTGGCCTTGAACTCACTATGTAGCCTAGGCTGGCCTTGAACTTGAAGCAATCTTTCTGCCTCAGCCACCTGTTTTTTAAGCAAGCACTCTTATCATCAAGCTACAACCCCATCCCTGAGCATTTCTTTAAAAATCCTGTTATATTTTATGTGGACTTGATACATGATGCTTGTGCTAGAAAATATTTTTATTTTTATTTATTTATTTATTTTGGTACCAGGGATCAAACTTGGGACCTTGTGCTTGCAAGGCAGGTGGTAGAACCACTGAGCTAAATCCCTGGTCCTATTATTATGATTATGATTATTATTTTGAGACAGGGTTTTGCTGTGTAGTTCAGGCTGGTCTTGAATTCACTATCTAGCCCAGGCTGGCCTTGAACTTCCAGTGATCCTCCTGCTCCAGCCTCCCAAGTGGCATGCACCACCACGCCCAAATAGAAAAAAAAATTTTTTTTTTTTTGGTCTTTTCAGACAGGGTCTCACTATGTAGGTGAGAATGACCTGGAACTCACTAGGTAGCCTAGGCTGGTCTCGAACTCACAGCGATCCTCCTGCCTCAGCCTCCCGAGTGCTGGGATTACAGGCGTGTACCACCATGCCTGGCTAGAAAAAATTTTAAATGCAATAAATTCATATATTCAAGATTCAGAAGGTGAAAAAGGGCTATACAACAAAAGCTCTCCCTGCCAGCCTCCACACTAGCTATCAAGAGGCAACCAATGGTACCTTGGGCACATCTTCAATATTTTATATGCGTGTGAACACAGAAGCGCATAGTCTGATCCCCCTCCCTTTTTACGCAGTGCTGGCCCTGTTCCACATATTCCTGTTTTCTTTCAACAGTGCGTCTTCCATATTGTCCTATTCTGACACATACAGAGCTTTTACATTCTTTGTTACGGGTGAGTTAAATTCTCTTATATAACAAACAATCACTTAACCAATTCCCTACAACAGATATTTAGGGCATTTGCTGTTTCCCTCCCTGCCTTTCTCCACTCCTCCTATTCTTCTGCCCTTCCTCTCGCTCTTCCTTTTTTTGCAATTATAAGTATTATAATGAATAATCTTGTAAGTAAAACAAATATGTAGAAATAGTACTGCTGAGTTAAAATATATGTCCTTTTTTTTTTTTTTTTTGGTGGAGGTGGGGCAAGGTCTTTTTATATTGCTGAGGCTGGCCTCAAACTCAAAATTCTCCTGCCTCAGCCTCCCAAACAGCTGGGACTACAGCATACATGACCAGCCTCGATTTCCATTTATAATTTTAATTAATATTACCAAGCTGCCCTCCGTGGGTGATTAAGCAATTTATACTGTTACTAGCAATGCATAAAGTACTTGTTCAGTTACAACCTCCAACAGACAGTGTGGAATCAATGTTTCTTTTAATTTTGCTAATTTTTAAAGTTAAAAAAATGGTACCTTGTAGTTTCTTTTTTTTTTTTTTTTGAGACAGGGTCTCACTATGTAACTGAGACTGACCTGGAATGCATTATATAGCCCAGGCTGGTCTCCAACTCACAGCAATCCTCCTGCCTCAGCCTCCCGAGTGCTGGGATTACAGGCGTATGCATTCACGCCTGGCTGGTACCTTGTAGTTTCAACCCACCTTTGCTGCTTTTTTTAAAATACAGTCTGGGGATCAAACTCAGATCCCTGTGCATACTAGGCATGTGCTCTACCACTGAGCTACATCCCCAGCCCTTTCTCTTGTATTCTGACAAGATTTAAATTCATTTAACAAATATTTTCTGAGTGCCTATCCTGTGCCAAACACTGCTCTAGGTACCAGGGACACACAAGTGACTCAATCCTCTCCTTCTGTTTCAGGAGGGTCATAAAAACAGTAAATGAATAAACAGGCAGATACAATTTGTCAGATGGTGGTTAGGTGCCCTGGGATAAATTAAGTAAGGCATAAGTTCCGCCCAACAAACAAGTGAAGGGATGGCTAGAAGCTATGTCTTCACTTATGTGAGAGACATTTCTATTTCCTTTCTTATACAATATCTTTTCACAGCCTTTGTCCATTTTTCTATGGGGTTATTTTCCTTTTGGTATGCAATTGTGGAACCTCCTTATTTATTTGATATTTAAATGTTAAAAATCATGTAAAGGTACAAGATCCCAATGATGAATGTAACTGTCCTGTATACCTAAAAAGTACCAATAAACTCAATGATGATTAAAAAAAGTTAAAGAATTTGCATACCCTATCATTCATACCATCATTTGTCAGTAATCACCTAACTTCTCTTCAGAGCTATGGGTACCTGTATTGAAATTTTTATTTTGGCTTACGATTTTTAAAAACTTTATTAGCTTTTTTTTTTTTCAGATGTTTTGTTTTGTATGAGGTACCAGGGATCAAACTCAGAACCTTGCCCTTGTGAGGCAGGTATATTGCCACTGAGCTAAATCCCCAGCCCTGGATCTTTTAAGACAAAAGAGGACATAGTATGCTGCAGTGTTGGTGAACCTGTGGCCGTATTCCCCAGGAGGCACACAGAGCCCTCTCTGTTGGCAAGAGAGCCAAGTCACCCCAGCAGTGGAGCACTGGGTAACAGTGCACAAAAGCATGCCACATGCACCCTTTTACCTTACAATAAAAAGCTCTTTGTATTACCAAAAGCTCTGTTACCGTGCTTTACTTTTAAGACAAAAGATGTTAATGTAAGAGTTGTTTTTTCTAAACTAAAACCTCAGTATGCAGGTTTAATTGCAGTGTTGGCACTTTGCAATGAATAAGTGGGTTTTGGGTTGCTGTTTGGGCACTCAGTCCCTAAAAGGTTTGCCATCACAGGTATAGTGTAACATACTCTTCCCTGGAATTCTTGGTCTAGAAAGCACAGGAGTAATACTACAAATGAAGATAAATTGTCTGCATACATTTCAGTTAGTAACATATGAAATTGGAATCTGAAAGTCTTTTCACACAAATATTTGTTCATATTTGATTTATGAAGTTTACTATGCTAATTACATATGTATATATACATGTATGTACATATATACTCATATAAATACATTTAAGAGTTTGAAGAATAAATATTACCAGGAAATATATTCAGTGCTTTAATTTTTCAATAATAGTTAAAATTTTTTTTTTACTAAATGCTATACCCTGAGCACTTCACACACATACCAACTCATTTAATCTTCACAATGGTTCTAAGCGGTAAATATGATTGTTCTCATCTCATTGTGAATGAAAAAACTGAGACTCAGAAATGTCATGTGCCCAAGGCCACCGGAAGTTGTTGAAGCCTGGATTCAGACTCCAGCCTGCTACATGTTAGCATATTAGCCTATATTAGTAGGACAAATTCATTATTCCAGAGAAAAGTTAGCATCCTGAGAAAGTGTGGGGAAGCAACTAGACACCTTACCTTGGCCGAGTGAAGACAGCGCTGCAGAAAGTTTAGCCAAAGCTAACCATTTTTATCTGAATATATGCCATTCTATAGGCCATCAAAGAGCAACACTGTTTCAAATTAGGGGATTTAGCTCCCTGGTTCCAGCACCCTCCTCACAAGCACAAGGACCAGAGTTCAATCCCCAGTACAAAAAAAACAACAACCCCCCAAAAAACAAAAACCTCCTAAATACTGATTATAGAAAGCATGCAAAAAGATGAGGCAGTAACTGCATGAATAGAGTATCATATGTTTATTTTTAAAACAATTTAAAATACCCAAGATTCCTACCTGATTTCATTTCCAAAAGAGTATTATTATCAATTTCATGGTTCGCTTTTCCAGGCTGAGGCACTCGTAGTGGTATGATCTGAGGGACACACACTGAACCAGCTGTCATGTTCGCTCCTTAAGTCAAAAGACTAAATAAGAATAAATGCCATCATGCAAAAACTGAAGAGCAGAAGCTCATTTAAATGCAGCAGAACTAGTACAATCTAAAGACAACGTTGCTACTGTGCTACCTGCAAATATCAGCCTTTTTTTTTTTTTTTTTTTTTTTTTTTTTTTTTTTTGACTGGGTCTTGCTCTGTAGTTCAGGCTATCTTTGAGCTCACTATGTAGCCCAGGCTGGCCTCAAACTCTTAGTTAATTTTCCCGCTTCAGCTTTCCAAGTGCTGGGATTACAGGTGTGTGCCACTACACCTGGTTTATCAGCCTATTTTTAATTTTATTTATTGTTCTATTTCAGCTGCATTTTTGCTGATGAGGTCTTGTGAGATTTATCTAAATATCTCACATCTAAGCAAGAAGCAGGAATGATGGAGCGAAGGAGTTATTTTAAATGACTAACACAGCCAGACATGGTGGTGAATGTCTGTAATCCCAGCACTCGGGAGGCTGAGGCAGGAGGATCACTGTGAGTTTGAGACCAGGCTGGACTACATAGTGAGTTTCAGGTCAGTCTCAACTACATAGTGAGACCCTGTCTCAAGAAACAAATATAAATAAACAAATGACTAACACAGAACAAAAACCATTATTTCCTGACCTCAGTTTCTTCTAGAAAATAGAAAGTCTTTCTTGCCTCCAGTTAATGTTCATCTCTGTTGACCTCATGCACACTCTGTGCAGCATGAAATGTTAACTGATAAAAATGTATTATCATTATTAATTTATCTTTTTTGATACAGGGTTTTGTTTTGTAGTCAGGCTGCCCTTGAACTCACTAGATAGCCTAGGATGTCTTCAAACTCATGGCAATCCACCTGTCTCAGCCTCCCAAGTGCTGTCCTTACAGGTGTGTGCCAACATGCCCACTTCCCAGTCCTTTTATTAATATTTTTTCATTTTTAAGTTTGAGACAGGCTCTCACTAAATTGCTGAGTTGCCCAGGCTGGGCTGGAACTTTTATTTATTTATTTTGAGACAGGGTATTGTTAAATAGTCCAGCTGGCCTTGAACTCCTTGTGATCTTCCTGCTTCAGCCTCCTGAGCGCTGGCATTACAGATGACTAGCTAGAATTTTTTAGCCTCCTGCCTCAGTCTCCTGGAGTGGTGGATTATGGGCTTGCAGCACCATAACTGGCTACTTTGTGCACATTTTATTATTTACAATTTCCATTTACCTGTGTAAATTTATTTATGAATTTGTTACTGGGCATTTAGGCTATTTCTAGTGTCTATTTGGTACTGGCTGTGCAACGTTAATGCTGCTGCTGTGTACATCTGGGGGGTATCGAGTTTCCCCAGATGGAAGGAAGAATACAAACTGCAGATATTGACAGTGCAGCACCAGGGCCCACGCAATTGTGGCCAGTCGTGGGAGGACTTATCATATGTTTCTATTCAAATGGGAGGAGTTACAATAAAAATGCTAGAAAATTAGTTAGAAATAAACATAGGATAATTCTTGCGTAGGAATTCGTAGCTGCCTTTGAGAGGTCGGGGTGGCCAGTTGTCCTCAAGTAAAGGGAAGAAAAAAGCTCACTCTAGACGCAAACGGCAGACGCAGCCAACAACACCTCACCTCCACCTCCCAGCTCTCTCCAACCAGATGCAGAATCTGTTCCGGTCCTCTCCTCCCCTCCTCCGCCCATCAGAGACGGTCAAGGACACCTGCATCCTTTGGTTGGAGCGATGGGGGCCCGTCTCCTCCTCCCGCACCGGAGATCGACATCTGGCCCCCGGTGGCACCCCCGCCACGGCCCCCGACCCCGCCACCTGCCCCTCACCTCCTCAAGCTTTCTCTTTCTTCGCCACCTGCGTTACCACAGACGCTGCGAGGTGCGTCACGCCCCGTGGGAGCTGGGCAGATGATTGGCGGAAAAATCAGCTTCCTAGCAACTAGCTCCGCCCTCTCTGCCGGGCTGTGCGACTGGTACCCTCCCGGAGCTCCTTCCAGTAGGCGTGCTGTAGGCATCCAAGAATATGCCTTTACAGAGGTTGGAAAGCGCAGAAAAGTGCGTCTCTATTCAGAATGACGGAACAGGGTTCTTTGTCCGACAGTCATTGTCCTTCGGACCACGAATAAGAAGCTGTAGCGGCGCCGGAGAAGGGCACGGAGCAGGCATAGCTTGGCCGCCTAAGGCCGACAGGCAAAGAAGGACCGGCTGCGACTCGAGAAGGAAGGCCTTGGGTCCCTGACCCGGCGCTCTTTCCAGAGGCTGCTGTAGTTCTGTGGCTGGCTTCCCGGCGAGGATCTCCTTCCAGGGCCAGGGACTACGGCGTCATGGCCGAGGTGAAGGTGAAGGTGCAGCCGCCCGACGCGATTCCGGTCGAAATAGAAAACAGGTAAACTATTGAGGCTCGGGTCCCGATTCAGGACCGCCGCAAGCGGCCTGTCATTTGGTCAGCGGACCTTTTCTTTAGGAGTTCTCAGAAGAGGCTGGTCCAAGCTGGATGAGCACTAGGGACGGTGATTCTGGACACACCGCCCCGCTCCCCAGAGAGCGGAACTCTTAAGGTTGACAACGAGTGTTACACCTCGCAGTTTTACCCCGGAACCTAGAAGTAATGTTGCACTTCTCTCAGCATAAAGGCCGTCAGAAGACACGTGTTTCCTGTAGATCTTGTGGATACTTGTAGTAGTCCAGGGTTTTCTATAACTCCCACAACAGAACGTTTGGATGAAGTTAGGGTGCATTTTGTGATGACAAAGCAACCGTACGCCAGATGATTTCAGTGGACTGTTGAAGTCAGGATTCTACGGCACCCGAGGACGCTCTCGGTTTTATAATGCACCAGTATTTCTAGGTTGTAATAAAGAGCCCAAATTTCTCATGCTGTCATGAATAACATTTTTATTGATCCAAGACAAGATTTGGACGTGTTTGGTAGGCGTAATCCCCCAGACAAGCCCCAGTAATGGTGAGTTATCACAACAAATTTGGCTTCCCACCAGAATTGTCCACATTTACCTCCTGCTTACAGACTTATGGCTTAACTTTGTTTTACATGCTAAGAAAAGAATCTTCCTAGGCCGGGGGTTTAGCTCAGTGGTTCCACTGCCTGCCTCGCAGGCATGAGGACCTGAGTTTGATCCCCGGTATTAAAAAAAAAAAAAAAAAAAAAAAAAAAAAAAAAAAAAAAAATCTTCCTCAGTTTTTAACGTGTTTTGGTTCAGAACTATCACAAAAAGCCAGACTGTCTGCCAAGTGTGGAAAAGGCACATTTTCAAACTGTTCTGCTTGTATTTCTCCACCACTGCCCCTTGAAACAAGAAAGCATGACTATTATTACAATCTCTTTTTCTAGGATTATAGAATTATGTCACCAGTTTCCTCATGGAATCACAGACCAAGTGATTCAGAACGAAATGCCTCAGATAGAAGCCCAACAGCGGGCAGTGGCCATCAATAGACTCTTGTCCATGGTAAGAAAAACCCAACTGGTTTCACGTACAGTTATTACTTATTGTAATTATCATTGCCTCCCCTTATGTAGTTGTGATGGTTAATTTTATTTGTTAACTTGACTGGAACTGGGATTCCCAGATGTCTGGCTAAACATTATTTCTAGGAACGGTCTGGAAGAGATTAGCATTTTAATTGGCGAACTAACTGAAGCAGATGGTCCTCCTTGATGTGGGCGGGCATCATCCAGTTCACGAGGCCCTCAATAGAACAAAAAGGCAGAGGAAGGTTCAACTTACTCTCTACTTGTTTAAGCTGGGATATAAGTTTTCTGCCATCACCACTCTTGGTACTTAGGGTCTTTATATTCTGGCAGGAATCTGCACCACTGGCTCTTTGCTTCTCAGGGCTTTGAACTATACCTCTGACTTTCTCAATTCTCCAGCTTGCAGAAAGCAGATCACAGGACTTCTCAGTCTCCATAATTACATGAATTGTGAATGCAAAATAAGTCTCTTTCTGATAAGAGATTGTGTGTGTGCGTGCATGTATATTCTTTTTCTCTGAAGAACTCTAATGCACTAGCTATAAAACTAGAAAGTGTGTTACACTGTAGTTTTGTTTAGTAAGACTTCACCAAGAATCAGCCCAGATCTCCTGAATTAAAAAAAGAAATAATTATTACTGATGTTTTTATTAACCTAATTGTTAGGTAAGAGCACACAGGCATAGCCTATTCTTATCTTCTCTTTGCTTCCTGCTGCTGGTATTGGAGCATTCTCTGTAATATAGCTCCCCTCTGATTTTTCTGAGTCATCACAGAGTCTGTTTATAAGCATATCTCTCTCCACAGTGTCACTGAGTTTTCGTTTGAGAAGCAGCAGTTCTGAGCCTTTGGGTGGAAGTACAGCTCTCAGCTCCTAGACACATCACAGTAGGAGTTTTAAGAGAAGCCCTTCTCCTTACTCTTACCTGTTTTGCCCTCCTTAAGTACCGGGGCCCTAATGCCATTTTCCTCCAACTTTACAAAACACCCCTACTAATACTGTTTGTGCTTCATGCTGTAAATCTTCTTTGTTTCTCTCACTGTCAAAACTCCCTTTTTTTTTTTGGCACGAGGGATCAAATTTAAGACCTTGTGCTTGCGAGGCAGGTGGTGGCACCACTGAGCTAAATCCCTAGCCCCAAATTCCCATTTCTTGAGAGCATTTCCATTTGGCTTTACTAGTAATTAGGTAAGAGTTGTGTATAAGGCCTCATCTGCATTACTGACTGATATGCTTTTTAAATTTGCCAGTGTTATTGGATTTTATGGGCTTTGGATATGGAGACTTGAGGACTAGTGATGCATTTGTTAAACCATTCCTTTCAATATTCTAGCTCAGGGGCTGGCAGACTTTGTATAAAGCACTAGGTAGTACATCTTTTTGTAGACGATGTGGTATCTGTCACAGATTCTCAGTGGGTGATGATCCATAAGCAAATGGGTGTGGCTGTGTTCCAACAGAACTTTATTTGTAATAAACAAGCAGTGGGCCAGATTGCTGACCCATTTCACCCCAAAGATGGAGTGTCTGGGCTTTCTAGTGATTTGACCATGATAAATGTCTATAACTTCTGAGCAAGGTATGGTGGTACACGCCTGTAATCCTAGTACTCTGGGAGGCTGAGTCAGGAAGATAGAAAATTCAAGTCCTGTGTAGGTAACTTTGTGACTTAGCAAGACCAAGACCCTGTCTCAAGAATAAAACATTTAAAAAGTGCTGAGGATATAGTCTACTGTCAAGGCCCTAGGTTCAGTCCCTAGTTACCCCTCCGCAAATAAGTGTACAGCTCCAGGAAGGACAGAAGTTGTGGCAGGGGATAGTACCCCTTTGTGTCATCTGATTTCTTTCTCAGTTTTTTCTTCCTGACTGGAGAAAATCCTGAGCACCTTCTTCTCTTTCACTACCTCTGCTCCTGCTGCACTGCTTGTCCTATTGGTTATAAGGTATAGGCAGGAGCTATTGAAAAAAAATTTTTTTTTTGTACTAGGGATCAAACTCAGGACCTTGTGCTTGTGAGGCCGGTGGCAGAACCACTGAGCCTGCTATTGAAATATTTTGAGCAAAAGAGTGATTGTTAATAAATCACTAAGTATTGCTGGTCTTAGCTCTTAAACAGTGTTTACATTTGTCCTGCATCTCCATTTCTATAACTACCTGTGTTCAGGCACTTGGAGTTTACCAAGTTAAGATGTTAGGCAGCATCTTAACTGGCTTCCCAGACTCCATTTGCCTCAGAGAACCCAGCCTGCATTTGGATCTACCTTTTTTTTTGGTACTGGGGATCTAACTCAGGTCCTTGTGCTTGCGAAGGCAGGCTTCAGAACTATTGTGTTAAATCCTTGGCTCCCCTCTACATTTGGACCAAGTTACTCCCTCACCACAGATCTGCCCAAAAAATGCAGATACAGATCTGGAGATACGAATCCAAACTCCTGAGTCTACCAGACCTTACCCCTGCCTTCTTCAGCAGCCTTATGTCCTTTACTACTCTGCCTCAGAACTTTCATGTCAGAGGAACTGTACTGTGTTTGTTTTCTGCCTCATCACACTGCTTCACATCAGGGCCTTGGCTTACTCTCTCTTCCCTTCTTTCAAGGCCCTTCTCTTTCTCCTTGGACTCACTAACCCCGTGTGATCCCTGTAGAACTCAGCTCTGCCATTGTGTCCAGGAAGCCACTCAGAGACCCCAGGTGGGCCATAGATATCGTGTATCTTCCAAGTCCTACCTCTTTAAATGCCCACCAGATAGGGTAGAAGTTGGTTATGTGCTTCCATTTTAGAATTTGCTTGGTGAGGGCTGGAATTGTGGCTGTGCGTGAGTGAGGCCCTGGGTTTGATTCACACAATGGTTAAAAAAAAAAAAAAATTTGTGTTTCCTCCCCAGTGACCTATCATATAGGTCACATACCTGGCACAGTACAGGTGTTCAGTACATGTTCATAGGCAGAGTAAAGGGTTTGATTCACACAATGGTTAAAAAAAAAAAAAAATTATGTGTTTCCTCCCCAGTGACCTATCATATAGGTCACATACCTGGCACAGTACAGGTGTTCAGTACATGTTCATAGGCAGAGTAAATGACCAAGCAGAACCTCTGAATTAAGCTTTGTGGTCCACATTACCATTGGTAGAGTTGTGAGAGCGGGGTAGTTGCAGTTCATCCAATATGTAAATCACTCTGCAAGTCTTTAGTGGTCTTGGTCTAACATATGAGGACAGGGGCCTCTCAGTCATTTGGATTTTCTTAAGGTGAGAGCCAGTGAAACTCAGAAGAGCATACTTCATCTTGCTTTTGGCTCAATGTATAAAAATAATACCAATCTGGGCCTTTTTTCCATTGGTTGACCTTTGTGCCTAATTTTCATGTAATAAAATATAAATTATATGCATCAGTAAATGTTAACTATTTATAATTTTATTATTGTGCTATTGAATATTTATGCATGTTTAGCTGTTTAGCCTTATTTCACCTTTTTATTTAAACAGACTATATATGTTACATATATGTTTTTATTTTACTTTTTCTTTTTTGGTCATTTGAGACAAGGTCTTTTTAGGTAGCCTAGGCTGGCCTCAAACTCATAATTCTCCTGCTTCAGCCTCCTGACTTTGGGATAATAGATGTGTGACACTATACACAGCTTAAACAAATTATGTTTTAATTTTTATTATATTTGCTTCTTTACATATTGTCTTAGTTATTTTTCTGTTATTGCTGAGACAGAATGCCTGATAACCAAAGTTAAAAGAAGAATGCCTGATAACCAAAGTTAAAAGAAGAAAGGTTTATTTTTGCTCAGTGTTTGTAGAGGTTTCAGTCTGTAGTCAGCCAGCCCCAAAGCAAGGTGGCATGGCAGAGGGGCATTGAAGAGGAGAAACAGTTCATGGAAGGCAGAAGGCAGCAATTAGCAAGCGACAAGAAAAAAGCAGTGACCCTCTTTCTGTCCCTTATGTCCTATCCAGGCTACCCAGGATGGGGCAGCCTTAATCCTAGCATCGCACTGTGAATCAGTCCCAACATCACATCCTGGATCCCATCCTCACACACCCTATGTTCAGCCACCTCCAAAAAGCCACACCTATGACCACATGAGGTTTTAGGGGGACATCTAGATACAAGCTATAACACATATGTTATTTGGATCTAAATATACATTTCTGTTATTTAAATGTCCTTTAAACTTTTCTCATGAATTGATCATATAGCCAAACCAGGATCTAGCATGTAAGAAATTGTTAGTATTGATACTTTGAAATATTTTGAGATAAGTAGTTAAGTTTTGAAAAGTATATTACATGTAATATATAGATAAAAGCTTCAGTTTTAGATCAGAAACTAACAAATGAACATGGCAGGTAGACTATTTTAGTTTGCATAATAAAAATATTAGTGCATTAATATTTGATGTTGGATGAATATATCTCCAAAATAATTGACTTCTGTAATCTATTAATAAAAACCTTAGGGTCAATTGGATCTCTTAAGGAGTAATACAGGCCTTTTATACAGAATAAAGGACTCTCAGAATGCTGGGTAAGCACCTATTTTTTTCAATTTTAAGTATCACAAAAGTAATATATGTGTTAGGAACAAAGGTGTAATGTAAACCTGTCCTGCATACTCTCCTTGCTTCCTGTCACATGTTCCATTTCCCAGCATATTCTTTCTTAGTAATATAGTGTATGTCCTTTTATCTAGCTATAGAGACATAAAGTACTCATGGATGGTTATATATGTATATATAATCTCTTTTCCTTTTCTTTCTTTTTCTTTCTTTTTTTTTTAACAAAAATGGGATCATGCTATCCCTACTATTTGTAACTTGCTTTTTTTCACTTACCGTGTCATGGACATCTTTTCATGTTGGTACATACAGCTCTGTCTCGTTCTTTTTAAGGTAAGCCTGTTTAGTAAATAAGTCAGTGTGGTGGTCTTGTCTGCTAATTCACTTAAATAGTCATCTAGATTATTAATGTATACCCTTTCCCTTCTTAACTCTATTTTACTCCTCTGCAGTAAAATGAAAGGATCAGATAACCAGGAAAAACTAGTATATCAGATCATAGAGGATGCAGGAAATAAAGGTAAGCCTGTGAAGAATGAAGGAGAGGATATTTAACATGTATAGTGTCCTGCTGCCATTCATGTGAAAGGGAGGGAGGGAGGGAGGAAGGAAACAGAGCAAATACCTTTAAAATGTGTAGGCTTGAAGGACACTGAAGGGTGCCACCATTTTGTGGTCAGAGATGGGAAGAAACCTCTGAATTCTGAGCCACATGAATGAATTACCTTTTCAAAACTTAAGATCATTTTGTTTGTTTGTTTGGTTGGTTTTTTTGAGACAGGGTCTCACTATGTAGTTGAGACTTACCTGTAACTCACTATGTAGCCCTGGCTGGTCTCGAACTCACAGCGATCCTCCTGCCTCAGCCTCCTGAGTGCTGGGATTACAGGCGTGTGCCACCAGGCCTGGCCTAAGATCATTTTTAATTGTCACTTTTTAGCTATATGACTGTCTCAGTCTATTTTCTGTTGCTATCAGTTAAATACTACATATGAGGAAATTTTATGAAGAAAAGAAATTTCGGGGGTGAAGGGAGGGCAGAGACAAGGGGAAAAAATGAGAACCAAGACCTGTCATATAAAGGTACAGGATCCCAATGATGAATGTAATTGTACTGTATACCTAAAATGTACCAATAAACTTAATGAGAAAAAAAAAGAAAATAAATTTACTTGTTACTGTTCTGAAGGCTGAGAAGTCCAGAGTCCTGGGAACACATCTAGTTAGACCCTTCTTACCCGTGGGACTCCTATGTAGGGTCCCAGGGCAGCACATGGCAAGACAGCGAGCTCATAATCAAGAGCTCATTTGGTGAACACAGCTTTTAACTTGGTAACATGGTTACACATGGGTGGGTGACCCAGGCACCTCCCCTAAGTCCCCCTCACTTCAAGTGCCACTAACATAAAGCTTTGGGGATTAGGTTTTCAACACATGAAATTTGAGGGACACATTTGAGCCATAGCAGTGATTTGGATGAGTTTCCTAAATTTTGTGAATCTCCATTTCTTCACGTTGTTGTGGATAATAATACCTCTGGTTCCTGCAAGAACCAGGAGGACACATAATGCAGCATGGCAGTGTCTTGGCCCATGTTCCTCAGCAGCTTTCCTTCCCTGACCCTCTGACGCACCGTGCCAAGACTGCAAATATCGCTAGTTGTGGCACACATTTGTAATGTCAGCACTCTAGGAGGTTGAAACATGAGGGCCACACATTTGAACCCAGTCTGGGCAACTTAGGGATTTGGTGAGACTCTTAAAATAGGAAAAGGGGTGGGGTTGTACTCACGGTGAAGGCCGTGGGTTCAGTTACCAGTACTGGGGTGAAAAAACCAAAAAACAACTTTTTGTCAAAGGATTTGCTGTCAGCTTTATTTTGATAGTTTTGGAATGAGAAATAGCTATAGAAATGAAAATAGGAAAAAGGGGAAAGGGGAAGAAGAAACCACGCTAGAGGGGAACTTTGGTGTTTTCTCCGGCTTTCCTGTGTTATCGGGTGGAAGAGCCACCTTTGAAAAAGGGCATCTGTTCTTCCCTGTGGTGAGGCAAGGGAAGCCAGAGTCTCCAGCGTTGCTCAGTCTTTGCTGATGGGAATAAGGCAGCATCCCCCCCCCCGCAGTAACACATTTCAGATTTAAGCCCCTTAATAGCACTGATATTTATTGAGCCTTACCATGTGTTAGGAACTGTTTTAGAAGTTTAGAATATTATGGAAGTCTGGACGAGATAGCAGCCTGACGAGAAGGCCTGTGGCAGAGGACCCTCCGGCCCCTGCGGCCACAATGGCGGAGAGGCCCGAGGACCTAAACCTACCCAATGCCGTCATCACCAGGATCATCAAAGAGGCATGCCAACAACTTTGCAATGAAAGGGAAACGCAAGACACTCAATGCCAGTGATGTGCTCTCAGCCATGGAAGAGATGGCATTCCAGGGTTTCACCACCCCATTAAAAGAAGCTCTGGAAGCATATAGGCGGGAGCAGAAAGGCAAGAAGGAGGCTTCAGAACAAAAGAAGAAGGACAAAGATAAAAAACCAGATTCAGAAGAGCAAGACAGGAGCAGGGAGGAGGAGAATGATGAAGATGAAGAGAGGCTGGAAGAAGAAGAACAGAATGAAGAGGAGGAAGTAGGCAACTAACAGGGTGGGAAGACTGTGGCACTGTGGGAGCTCCCACTCTGAAACATGGTACATGTGTATGTGAAGTTTTCCCTGCTGGGCAGAGTAGTCTTGGGCACAAGAACCTGAGAAGATCACAATAAAAACTGACTATAATTATCAAAACCAGCGTTTCACCAACTCCGAGCATCTAAGTAGCAGAATCCTCTATGTTTAATCGGTCTGAAGGTTATTACTTTTTGGCAGGAGGGATTCTGAACAGCTAATTAAATTAGCGATTTGTTATCTTGTTTACTTACATGTATGGTTATATAGTTTTTTTGATCACCAGTCTTCCTGCTCCTCCAAAAAAGGAATAATAATTTCTGTCCTGCCTGCTCTGTTGTATCACAGAGGCAGTGAAGGCTCAGGAAAAATTAGGGCTTTGATCGTGAGCTTTTGATCCATATTTGATTTACAGTAGCTTACTAAGAATGGTCACAATGGAGTGGGTATGGTGTCACATGCTTGTGATCCTAGCTGCTTGGGAGGCGAACACAGGAGAATTGCAAGTTTTGAGCCCAACTTGAGCAACTCAGTGAGACCCTGTAACCACTCCCTGCCCACAAAAAAAGATAAAAGAGACTGGGTATGTAGCTCAGCACTCCCACTGAACTGTTTTGGGTTTTTTTTGTTATGTTTTTTGTTTGTTTGTTTTTTTAAAGATAATCTGTTCTATGGTTTCTTCACTTGAGAGCATTAATTAAATTCTGGTTTCTCTAAACCTACTTGGCTTGTGGCCCTTCTGTATTTCCTTTAGGCATCTGACCTGCTAGGGTGGCTGTGCTCTGGGCATAGTATGCTCTTAAATTAGCAATGTAGATTGGAAGTTGACAGACAAGGGTTTTACACAACAGATGGCTTAATCTTAGGTTTACCTCACCCTTGCTGTCCTTGTACTTTAGGATTTATTGTTGCCTCCTGGAAGGTGTAAAATCCCAGGCTTTCTCTTATTATGTCCATCCCTCAGACTTGTGGCTATGGTTTTTAATTTTTTTCCTGCCAGGTTCCAGGCTCTACTTCATCTAACCACTTTTTCCTTCTGTGCTTCTTTCTATTTCTTTTCTGCCTCTCCTGCTTCCCATTCAGACTTTCTCTCCCCACCCCCTTTTTTTTTCTGTTTTTTGTTTTTTGGGTTTTTTTTTTTTTTTTTTTTTTTTTTTTTTTTTTTTTGGTACCAGGGATTGAACTCGGGTCCCTGCAATGCAGGCGGAACCACTGAGCTAAATCCCTGGCCCCCTCACCCCCTTTCATTCACTTCATCTACAAATCTAGTAGCTGGATACCTACTCAATGTCCCAAAATGCAGGTTCCTAGTTCCTTAGTTCTAATCCATGTCTTAAAAATGATTTTGTGAAACTCCTCTGAATATTGAGAAAGATCTGATGGTGCTCAGGAATCTAACCCCCTAGCTCAACCATTCCCTTGAACTGTTTCTAAAGTGTTTGTTGGCTTTTCTTAGCCTTTTTCTCTTTCTATTCAGTGTTCCAGGCACCTCTTTGTCACAGTTGAGTGCTCGGAATTTGACAGGTAGTACAGTGTAGTTTGACTCCGTTAACTGGTTAAATGAATACAGTGAAAATTTTGTTTATAAATACCCTTGAACTAAGTGTTTGTTGGCTTTTCTTAGCCTTTTTCTCTTTCTATTCAGTGTTCCAGGCACCTCTTTGTCACAGTTGAGTGCTCGGAATTTGACAGGTAGTACAGTGTAGTTTGACTCCGTTAACCGTTAACTATCTGTAGCTAGAAACTGCTACAGAAGCAGCTACAGGCTGCCGGTGGTCTCCCCTTGTCTCCGGGCCAGTGAATTACACCCAGAGGAGTGAGCAGCCCTAGCCACCAGCACCTGAAGTTAATCCTGAGAAGAAAGTGGAATAAAAACTGGAAAATGAAGACTCAAAAAAGAGACGGTGGACTCTGGAAGATTTTGACATTGGTCACCCACTGGGTAAAGCAAAGTTTGGCAATGGTTATTTGGCAAGAGAAAAACAAAGCAAGTTTATCCTGGCTCTGAAAATATTGTTTAAAGCTTAGCTGGAGAAAGCAGGAGTGGAACATCAGCTCAAAAGAGAAGTAGAGATACAGTCCCACCTTCGGCATCCTAATATTCTCAGGCTATATGGTTATTTCCATGATACCATGAGAGTATCTAATTCTGGAATATGCACCACTTGGAACAGTGTAGAAAACTTCAGAAACATTCCAAGTTTGATGAGCAGAGAATTGCTACTTAAATCATAGAATTAGCAAATGCCCTGTCTTACTGTCATTCCAAGAGTTATTCATAGAGATATTAAACCAGAGAACCTGCTGCTGGGATTGGCTGAGAGCTGAAGATTGCAGATTTTGATTGGTCAGTTCATGTTCCATCCTCCAGTAGAGCCACTCTGTGTGGTACTCTGGACTACCTGCCCCTGAGATGATGATTGAAAGCCAAATGCACAATGAGAAGGTGGATCTCTGGAGCCTTGGGGTCCTTTGCTATGAGTTTATAGTCAGGAAGCCTCCTTCTGAGGCACACATTAGGAGATCTACAAGAGGATTTCGTGGGTTGAATTCACATTCCCTGACTTTGTGACAGGGAGCCCAGGACTTTATTTCAAGGCTGCTAAAACATAATCCAAGCCAGAGGCCGACTCTTAGTGAAGTACTTGAACACCCCTGGATCACAGCAAATTCAACCAAGCCATCAAATTGCCAGAAAAACAAAAGAGTCAACTAGCAAATCATCTTAATTGTGCAGGGACAGAAGTTATTGAGCCAGGGCTGCTGTGCAATCTTTGGGAATGTGCTCCCAGACTTACCTTACTGCCTACTTTCGATTCACAGCGTTACAGGAAGTGTCACTTCTCTTCCCAGCCTTCAGTGCCTTGGCCTCCCTGTTCACAAAGTTCCCTTGCAGGAGATGTGACACTCTGAAAGTGCCTCAAGAATCATGCTGCTTTTACCAGGTTCCTAATCCAGAGGCAGTGCTCAGCTGTAGCCATATCCACACCTGTGCCAGGCAGGGTGTCCTGTGTGAGAACTCAGAGTCTGGTTTTCAGGAAAGCCACCACTTTCCTCTGACTCAGCTAACACGCTGCACAGTTACCTTCAAGTACCTGAGTGTGTGTGTGTAACTTATTGGGTGGTCAAACCTGGGATAGGTTGAAATGAATATGTGAGACTTTTAAATATTAAAGATTTCTGTATAGCATTTTTCTTTCCATGCATCCCCTCAGGGATGCTCTCATTGTTGATCATCCCTGTTAAGCCTGTCTGGGTTTTAGCCCTCCTTAACCACTATAAAAGAGGAACATATGCTCTACTTCTGTCTCAGGAATTGTTTGGGATACACAAGTAGTTCCCAAGACCTGATGCCTCAGAACTTTTCCTAAACGTTAAGAGCTCTTGATTGCATTGGAGTTATGGCATGTGTGCAAACTTGTAAAATGCATAAATAAATATACCACTTTACCTGGAAAAAAAAAATCAAATCAAATTCATTGGAAGATCCCAAAGATTAGATGGTAAAAAAAAGAAAATAGGAGCCATGCTTTTTTGAAGACTTGTGTCAGGTGCTTTGTCAATTTGTAAGACATGAGTCTGAAGTATCCAGCAGTTTAATTCTTGAAAGATATCTAAATCAGGTACAGTTGCTTGGGTGGTGAGTGCATCAGGACCCCGTAATGAGACAGGTGGAAGGAAAAAAATCCATTCACCATATTTTCTCTAGCAACAAATGAGATATGGCAATCAGGCGACAGTGAAGCCTATGAATAGGTGATGTCAGTCAAAAGATGACATGGCACTGAGTATCAGTGTTTTGGCCAGGCCTTAGAGGTGTAGTATATCAGGATGTGAAAAAGGGGTCTTGAATTTTCATGGAAAGGAAAGTAGACTATGGTGAATACATAGATAAGAATAATGTAAGATGACAAGGAAAAAACAATCATAGCTGATAACATTATCTTTTTGACTAGACAAAAGAAAAGGAATGAACAGGTGATTCTTTGCCCATTGTTTGATACAGTCTCATTTCCAGTCTTTATAGTTTTAAGGATAAGAATTAAAATGATATTTTAGAAAAGGAAAGAAAAGTCTATAAACACTATAGTTCACCTTACTTTATTTTGTTATAGGAATATGGAGCAGAGATATTCGTTATAAAAGTAACTTGCCATTAACGGAAATCAACAAAATTTTAAAGAATTTGGAAAGTAAAAAACTTATCAAAGCTGTTAAATCTGTAGCGGTGAGTAGCTTTCTGCTTTTTCCCCCAAATACTCACTTGTTGTTCCAAGTGTATTTCAAATTTTCTTCTTTGACTTATGTTGTGATTTAAACATAATTTTAGCACTTGGGAGGCTGAGGCTAGGGAATTTTGAGTTTAAGGCCAGCTTAAAGTGGCTAAATATTGAATTCAAGGACAGGCTGGCCTATATAATAAGGTCTTGTCTCAAGAAAGGAAAGAAGTGGGCTGGGGATTTGGCTCAGTGATTCTGCTGCCTGCCTCACAAGTGCAAGGTCTCAAGTTTGATCCCTAGTACCAAAACCAACACACACACACACACACACACACACACACACACACACACAGAGAAAGGAAAGGAGTAGCCAGGCTTGGTAGCACACAGTGTAATCCTAGCACTCAGGAGGTTGAGGGAGGAGGATCATCATGACTTCAAGGCCAGTCTGGGCTACATAGTTCAAGGCCAACTCAAACTACATAGCGAGACCCTGCCCTGTCTCCAAAAAAAAAAAAAGGAAGGAGAAAGGGAGGAGGGAAGAAGAAAGGAAGAAAGAAGGAATGATTTCTATGAAGGCAAAAGGAAATGTCCACAGCACCTCAATTGAGTTGAGGAAAGTCTTTCCATGAGGATCCTAGAAAATTACTGTGTTTTTTTGTAATTATTGTGATACTGCTATTCTGTACTTAGTACATTGGAATTAAACATTTACGTAAATGATGGGAGGTATGGGCTACAGTGCAGTACACACCCAAGTTAAAGGCAAGGGCCCCTTCAGGACTGCCCTCCCTTTCACCACCAGTCACAAGTTCAGGCCACCCACACTTTGACAACCTGGCTGTGAATTTAGGTGTTCCACTGACCCCTTTGGGCTTGATAATTTGGTAGGACAATTCATGGAATTCAAGAGAGAACCATACTTCCCATAATGGTGCTATTATAAAGGGCACAAGGAAGCAGCCAATTGAAGATACAATGGAGCAAGGATGGGAGGATTCCAACATGAGTCTTCCATATCTAGAGGATATATTGATATATGATTACCAGTCATGGTAGCTCATGGTGCTTTCTCATTCCTGACATAAAATACCCAACACCCACAAATTGAAGGAGGAGAGGTTTATTTGGCTTATGTTTTCAGTTGTCAGCCAAAGTCACAGTTGGTTGCCTCCAAGGAAAGAAAGGCATGGTGGAAGGGCCACAAAGGAAAGCTGCTCACATCATGGTGGCCAGGAAGCAGCGAGCAAAAGGAGGAGCTGGGAAGGGAGATGCACGCACCTTCCTAGGTTGCACCCCTGGTGACGCCTCTTCCAACCAAACCCCACCTCCTAACAGAAAGTCAGCTGTAAACCTCCTTGAGTCAGTCACTTTCCAAAAGTCCTCCCCATGAGTGCATGAGGCCTTTGGGGGACATTTTCTAAACTGTAACAGAAGCTCCCCTAAGCTGTGATAGCTAGAGTTTTTGTTGGGGTTTTACTACCTAGACAGGCTTGATTGTATTATTGGCCACATGACTGGATTCAGACTTTAAATCTCCTCTTCTCCTCAAGAAGTTAGACTAATATCACATGGCTCAAAGCCCACAAATCGCATGAATAGCACCCATCCCAAAGCTACCTAGAGATCCATCAGGAGCCACCTTGTTAGCAGGTGTGGTTCCAGGGACCTACCATGAATAACAAAGGTCCTCTTATTGGCAAGTTCCAAAAATGGAGAGGTTGCTTTCAGGAACGGGGAGAAAGGCTAACCAATTCCTTATGAAAAAACGGTGAGATTCAGTTTTCTCACTGTTGGAGTAGGAAGTTAAGGATAAACAAGGGGAGGAGGCTAGGATGATCATGTAGAATGGATTACAGTTCAGAACATCAGTATGAAATTATACCTGGTTTAGTGTAGGTGGTTCTTGTAGAAATACTTATGATATATATGTGTATATACAGGAGTTGGTGGGTACACAAATCTCTTTTACCTTGTCAGCTGACACAGCCTGGAAGCAGCAACACCCAACGAACCTAGCAGTGAAGTCTTGCTTTCTAGTACCATTCTCCAATAAAGTGATCCAGGAGTCCTTTAGAGTAATAGCTGATTCCAGGACTTAGGTAGGAAATATATAAGCTGCTCCTGACATATGGTCACACAAGAAAGTGCTAACGCAGACAGACAGACACATACATACACACACACACACACACACACACACACACACACACACATTCATACACGATGGAGTCATGTCAAAAGCACATAAGAACCAACTGAAAAGTTTCCAATGCCCGAAATGAAACAGTTGGAACAACAAAGTAGTATTAGACTGGAACTCATACTATATAATATAAATATCACGAGTCCATACAGATATTAAATGAGAAATTGCCACAACTAAAAGGACCCTAAGAAGAGATGGCAACCAAATGTAATGTGGTATCCTGGGTGGGGTCCTGGAGCAGAATAAAGTCATCAGGGAAAATCTCATGAAATCCAGATATAGCAGGGGCTTCAGCTGATAATGCTGTGTCAAGTGGGTACAGTGGGACAACCTGTAGTTCCTGCACTTAGGTTGTCTTGATTCCAGGGGTTTGAGACCAGTGTGGACAATATAGTAAGGTCCCACATTAAAAAGAAAAGCCAGGTGTGGTGGTACCTACCTGTAATCCCAGGACTCGGAAGCTGAGGCAGGAGGATTGCTATCAGTTCAAGGCCAGCCTGAGCTACATAGTAAGTTCAAGGCCAGCCTGAATTACAGAGCAAGACCCTATATAAAGAAAAAAAAAAAAATAGGAACTCTCTATCTTTGCAATAATTCATTCATCTAAAATTGGTGTACTGAGGCAGGAGAATCGCTATGAGTTCGAGACCAGCCTGGGCTACATAGTGAGTTCCAGGTCAGCCTCAATTACGTAGTGAGACTTCGTCTCAAAAAACAAACAAACAAACAAAAAAGTTGTAAAATATAGGTTTTTTTTTATATATATTTTCGGGGGTTGGGGACTTAACTCTGTTTCTTCCGCCTGCTTTGCAGGCACAAGGTCCCAAGTTTGATCCCTGGTACCAAAATAAATAAATATATAGATATATATATATAATCTGTATATATATATCTACATCTATATATATATTTTTTTTTTGAAACTGCCATAAACACACTAACTGTACCTATTCTTTCCTAGGCCTCCAAAAAGAAAGTATATATGCTGTATAACCTGCAGCCAGACCGGTCTGTGACTGGTGGGGCCTGGTACAGTGACCAGGATTTTGAATCTGAATTTGTAGAAGTGCTTAACCAACAGTGCTTTAAATTCCTACAATCTAAGGTGAGCCATAATTGTGGAAACATCACAAGTCCTTTTTAATAAAAGATATTGGTCATATATCATATTTTGTAAGTGAATCTAAAACAAATTGGTCATTTTTACTGAACAAGTAGCTCTCTTGCTGATTTGACTCTATATAAATTGCATTCAGAAAGCACTCATCAGTATTCTTGCTTAGATCTCTTACATTTCAACCCCTACAGGCAGAAACAGCTCGAGAAAGCAAACAGAATCCAATGATTCAGAGAAATAGTTCATTTGCCTCATCACATGAAGTGTGGAAATACATCTGTGAATTGGGGATCAGTAAGGTCAGAGCTTGCCCTTGAACCTTTTCAGATAAAACTTACTCTTCAGCATGAGGATGTAGTTCACAGTGTGTTCAGACTCTTCTCGAATGGTGGCCATGAGCACTCTTCAGAACCCACTCAGGGAAAACACTATCATTCAGGCACCGTCTAGTCTGTTCTCGAGCTGGGAACACAGGCAGTGGAATGTCGGCCTGGCTGCGCAATTCCCCGCCCAGAGAGTCAGACACTATTGGTGGAGTTTAGCAAATGTGCGCAATAGCAGTTGTTGTCACTTGTCAGTTGTCATCACTGGCATTTTCCTTAGGAGATGTAAGTGGTGTCAGCTGCATGATTTGTTGAGGGTTTGCATAAAGGACACTGATGCTTGACATAATCAGAGCTCAGCTGGCACTTGGACAGGTCATCTTCACTTGCTGGGTTCTAGATTTCTCTCGTAATGAACTAGGAACTTTGGATTTTGTTGTTTATTGCTTTTTTACTTTTGGTTGGGGCTTTGGGGGTGTGTGTGTGTGTGTGTGTGTGTGTGTGTGTGTGTGTGTGTGTGTGTGTGTGTTTGTGTGTTTGTGTGTGTGTGTTACACTAGGGTTCGAATCCAGTCTTCACGTTAAGCTACATCCTTAGCCCTTTTTTTTTGAAACTGGCTCTTGTTAAGTGGCTTCCTCAACCTCCCAAGATGCTGGGATTGCAGGTGGGCAACATCATGCCTGGCAAGAACCTATTTGTTGTCTAGACTATCTTTGTGCTCAGCATTTTATGATTTTGCATCAAGGCCGGGCGTGGTGGCACATGCCTGTAATCCCAGCACTTGGGAGGCTGAGGCTGGAGGATTGCTGTGAATTTGAGACCAGCTTAGGCTACATAGTGAGTTCCAGGTCAGTCTCAACTATACAGTGAGACCCTGTCTCAAAAAACAAAAACAAAAACAAAAAGATTTTGCATCTTATTCTTGTAAAAGGTATGTGTTGTTTGTCAAAGGTGTGTGTTGCTGGGTGTGGTGGCTCATGCCTATAATCCCAGCTATTCAGGATTCTGGGGCAGTAGAATTACAAATTCAAGGCCAGCTGGGCAACTTTGCAGGAGCCTGACTCAAACTAAAAGGGTTGGTGATGTAGCTCAGGTAGGACACTTGTCTAGCATGTGTGAGACCCTGGATTCAAAACAAAGTTACTTTAGGATGGTGAAGACATCGGGTCAGGCTCAGAGGTTAGACTTCTGTCCCGAGCATTTCAGTGTTTTGTGCTGACTTGAACCATTGTCACCCTCTGTGTGCTTTCCATGATTCCCCTCTAGCACCATGTTTCCTTGTGTCTCCAAGGAGTTGAGTTTATAACACCCCCGGCAAAGGGTGTTCCTTCATTATTTTGTGTGTGTCCTTTCTAATGTATTGCTTTTTAGGTAGAGTTGTCCATGGAGGACATCGAAACCATCTTGAATACCCTCATTTATGACGGGAAAGTGGAGATGACAATCATTGCTGCAAAGGAAGGCACAGTTGGCAGTGTAGATGGACACATGAAACTGTACAGGGCAGTCAGTCCAATCATCCCGCCCACAGGCTTGGTCCGGTCACCCTGCGGACTCTGCCCAGTAAGTTAAGTCACTTCACTTTGCCCTTGGCTACCCACCAGGCACAGATGCCACTTAAAGAAACACAGCAAGCATGCCTCAGTTCTCCAGACTTGCAGCATTGACCAAGAGCTGCTAAAACATCCACATAACCTTGATGAACAGATCTTTAGAGAAAAAAATCATTGCCTTACATCTTTCATGGGATCATCAGGTTAAGGATAGTTGCATTTTCTGCTCTCAGTCCTGAAATGCACAATTTTGATGAGGGTTAATCATTTAATCGAGGTAGGGAAGGAAGAATGAGATTTTTGGATAACTTATTACGGGCTGGGCTATTCTTAATGATTTTCATATGTGGTCTCATTAAATCCTCTTTATGTCTTTGAATCTAGTGGTGTTACTTTCCCTAATCGGGGAACTTGGGGACAAGGGACATAGCTTGGTGGCACAGCACATGCTTATATTTAACTCAGAGTAATGTTTTTTTTTTCAGCACGCCTCGGCACTTTCTTTCACCCATGTCCAGGTAGTTGATTAGCACCGACTGTGAGCCCTAGACACTGAGGTCACTGTAGAGAATTAAGTGACACCCAGTCCTCATGGCATTAAACTCTTAGGCTGCATCTGGGCTGGATATTGCTATACTGACCCCCACTTATCTGCCTAAGTGGTCAGTGTCCTAGTTTCAACTTCTAGGTAAAAGGCTTAACACTGTGGGAATTGTGACCAGAATTGTGCATGGGAAGGAAGGAAGTGAAACATGAGCATTCAGCTAGTTAACATTAAGTCATTTGAATGCATAGGTTTCCCTCTTGCACTGCGCTATGTGCTGTGGCCACGTTCATCTTAATGTTGTGTAAACTACGTGATTGCAGAGCCAGCCCAATTTCACTGTGTTAGTAGTGAACATAGTCCTAATCCCTTTCAGTTTGTAGATGGTTAGGTCTTGGACGGTTAGGTCAGGTTGGACATAAACTGTTTGTTTTTTTTAAAGGTCTTTGATGACTGCCATGAAGGGGGTGAGATTTCACCGTCTAACTGTATTTATATGACAGAGTGGCTTGAATTTTAATGAAGAGCTATGAACTTTACTGACATTTTGCAAATGAGGTCACTTTGCAAGCAAGTAATTGAATTCATAATGAACTTCAAATTTCCTTGAAATCATGTTCCACAATAATGGATACAGACTTGCGGCTGTGAAAGCTTTTTCTCCTCTACTTTATGAAGACTAAATTTGTATTGGTGGAATAGCCACCAGAAAATGGGACAGACCGGGCTTGGGAGAAGCCCACTCTGCAGCACTGGAGGATCCCATCCTTTGATGTCTCAAGACTTTGGATGACTCAAAGAGAAAGAAGTCAAACATTTACCAAGCACTATGGTAATGGCTAGAGCACAAAAATGTTCATTTTAAGATCATTTGTTAAATTTTTCATCGGAAACATTCATCTGATTCACTGTCACCATTTGTGTTTTCTCTTTCCTCAGTGGTTTGTGATGGCAGGAATAGCAGAGCTGGGACTGTGCACAGACTTGGTGCATGCACTGGGGAGTGGAACATCCCTGTTAATTCCTTTTTATACAGCATTTCTCTCAGGACTGTGCTACCATACTCACCTTGATCCCCAAATGGTGACTGTTGTTCAGAGTATATTTCCAGTGTACAAATACTAATGATCATTTTTATCCTAAAGGGAATATTTTCACTCCTCCTTTGTTGTTAAAGGTTTGTTTCATTCTGTGTCTCAATAATATTCTCGCTAGAATTTCTCTTAGTGTGCAGTGTTTGTCCCAACCCCCCAACCCACCCCCAGCAGACACACACCACCACTCCAAATCTGAGTGTTGGAATCAGATCTCCCAGGTGATGAGCTGTTTAGTTTTTGAAACAAGGTCTCCTTATAGAGCGTAGGCTGGCCTCAAACTCACTATGAAGCCCAGGCTAGCCTTGACCTCTTAGTGTTCCTCCTGCCTCAGCCTCCTCAGTGCTGGGATTATAGGCATGTGCCACTACCAAAGTGATGGTATTGGACACGGGACTTTTAAGAGGTGATAGGTCATAAGGGTAGATCCTCATGAATGGTACCATTGCCCTTACAAAAGAGACCCAAACCATGTACCTTGGTTACATCTGTAATCCCAGCTACTTGGGAGGCTGAGGCAGGAAGATTGTGACTTCAAGGCCAGCCTGGGGAACTTAGTGTCATAATAAAAAGTACTGGGGATATAGCTCAGTGACAGAGCACCTCTGGGTTCAGTCCCTAATGTGGAAGTAGAAGGTAGGAAGCCATCTGTTACCCAGGAAGTGGCCCTCATCAGACATCAAATCTGCCAGAGCCTTGATGTTGGACTTCTGAAATGTAGGAAATAAAATCTGTTGATGAGCTACCTGGCTATGATACTCTGTTATAGCAGACAGGATGGACTGTGACGTTGTCTTGTTTAAAATTAAAACAAAAATAGATCATTGCCTTCTGTTTGAGGGGTCGAGTGGGCAACATTCTCTTACTGTTTTAGATTTTTCTTATTCTGTTCTAATTCATGGTGTGACATGTCAAAGCAGAAAGCCATCGCTGTGCGACAGTCCTCATTCTAATAGCACATTGGGCTAGTTGATGTATTGTTGCATGGCTCTTTAGGCCGTCAGCTGTTGTTTCTGTATCCATCTCATATTCTGGAGGCTGAGACAGGAGGATAGCTCTGAAATGGAGGCCAACCTGGACTATATAGCAAGACCCTGTCTCAAAGAGAAATAAGAAGTTTGTATCCAGCCAGAAATATGGAACCAACCCAAAGGAACTCACACTTAGTTCCCATTGGGGGCTGAATTTGAACACTAGTTTGGAGGTGCTCTGAATGAACAACATCAGAAGAGTTACTTAGAGAGAAAATACTTTTGGGATCAGTAAAATAAAATGGAGCTTACGAGCCCATTTTTATCAGAGACATTCCTTGTTCATTTCTCCAGATGACACTAGACACAGAGATCTCTTAAATATTGGCTCTATATAAGATACAAAGGGATCCAGGAGCCAGAAACTACAGGGGCTCTCACCACCCCCGTGAGAACTGCCCTGGTAGCAGCAGTGTCCTTCGGGGCCTAGCAAAGAGGTACTGGCCTTATTTAAGAAAATTGAATTTGGAGAAGTTAGAAAAGAGGAGAAGGAAATGATTTATGTTTTCATTTTATCTTGATAGCCAGTGATTGATCTTTTAAATATAAAATAGTGAAAACAAGAGTATTCTTGCCTCACTAGAATAAAGAGACCCTTTAAACTTTTTTCCATAGTATACTTTTTATTCTGAATAAAGGATAAAGTAATGTACCTTTGATGTAGCTAAATGCATTTCTCCTACAGGTAAACTGACCAAGCAAATTGCATCTCTAGACTCAGAACTCCAAGTAGTGAACCTGCCAGTGAATCCCTAACCCTTATAGCAGATATCTGTTCAGTATTAGAGGTTCTGTTCACCTGAGGGTAGATGCATACTCCCCAGTCTGCTGAGGTCCCTTTGGATGTAAGTGTAACCCACGGAAAATAACAGAAACCATGAGAGTCCGTGATTCTGTGGTTTTTAATGAATATGTGGATTCTCACAGGAAACTGATTTAGTTTGGCAATGAGTAATTTTTATAGGCCCAGGATTTTGAGGGTGATCAACTAAGCAACCTCGTCAAAAAATTTTTTGATTGAGTTACTCCTGCTTTGAATTCTTACTTATAATTAGATGGTGGGTGAGGGGGGGAAGTAAAATTGTGAGCTGTGGACCTGTGGCACCCAGGAGTTTTATTCCACAGTGGAAGTGCTCCATCTCTGCTGTCCAGGGAGGGAGCCACGAGCCAGCAGTGCCTGCGGGGCACCTGAAGCGTGGCTTGGGTGATTGAACTGAAGCTTGAATTTATTTTTAGTTACCTCTGCCAGTGGTTGTTGTACTAGGTAGTTCAGCTCAACAATCATGTAGGCTTATGTGATTAATGTAGGATTTTTTTTTTTTTTTTGGGTACTGGGGATCAAACTTGGGTCTCTGTACTTGCAAGGCAGGCAGCAGAACCACTGAGCTAAATCCCCAGCCCACTGTAATTAATGTAGGAATGAAGAGTATCAGAATTAATCTTTTCTCAGTTGTATATATTTGGATTTTTTTCCTATGAAACAAGACAATAAAGTATTATAAACAATTGTCATTTGTGTACATTTATAATTTTTTAAAGAAAGTAAGGCAGAGAGTAATGTAATTACTAATTTTCAATGATTCAAGTAGAATTAAATGATTGTAAGTTTGGTCAAATCAGTGCTAATCAGTCTCTATAAACATTATTCTACTAATGTATCTAATTTGCTTTTTACTAACTTGTCAAATAAGCTTTGTTCACTTTTAATTATAAAACTAATATATATAATCATCCAATCTCTTAATGCTACCTCACCCAACTTCACCCCAGCTCAGGCTAACGCCACCCCACTCCTATAAAAGAAGCTCCCTGTGCTGCCATGTTGCTCTTTCTCCTTTGTTCAGAGACAGCCCGGCAGGTCCTCCCCATAATAAAGGCTTGTTAACAGTCAAACAAACAAACATAAAACTAATACATATATGTTCAGTGTAACAAATCCAGATAATCTCCAAGTGGATAAAGTAAGATTAGGACATCTATTACCCTATACCTACCAAAATTCTTATTCCCCAAGATAACTGCTGTTAAATGTTAGAATGTCTTTTTTTTTTTTTTTTTTTTTGGTT